ACGTTTTTTTTAAAAGACACTCTATGTAAAATAGATCACGCTTGCTTAAGAAGTCTCTCTGAACTAGACCCAAACATCAGACCAGTTGCAGCCACACTTATTCTTGCCAGAAGCCTTACTGAATACTGCTAGGATAATAATGATTATTTCACGCACATCACTTATTCTAAAGGTTATTCATTCTTTTCCAAACCCTAACTTCTCCATAGATTCCATATCCCCTGTTCTATTTCCATAAATGGGATTCTATTTTATGTGGCGTTGCTTAACTAATTGCCTCTGCTATCTCCCAGCTTATAAAGAATAAAGATCAGAAGTGTAGTCTAAATACATATTTAGATACGCAGAACAAGCTCAGTTTTTCTGGACAGTTTAAAATCTCCTTATAGTGCTGTTTCCTTTTAATACTCTTGCAAGTTAATTGTTAAATTATTGCAAGTTAAAGCAGAATTGCCAAAAAAAAAATACAAACCCTAAAAGCATTAGAGATATTTAAGTTTTGGCTTAACCTGACAAAGGCCGAGGAGGAGGAAGGGGAAATCAGAATAATACTTCATTTGTTTTCCCCTTCCACATCAACTACGAAACTAATTTCGGACTCCAAGGGCCAGAACCTCAGCTGATGTAAATCAACACACACCCGTTGACTTCTAGGGAGTTATGCGGCTTTACTCTGGTTGAAAATCCAGCCCACAGCATTCTGAGAGCCATTCAATAATTAAACATAGCAGGTGAACGAAGGACAGTGTTTCCGACCTAACAGCTGTCCACCTTTGGTTTAAGTTAGAACTAGGAAGTTGTTTTCATGTTGCTTTTTATACAGTGAGAGCACAGATGATGGTTTGGGCTAGGACAGAGAGCCAGGACTCCTGGTTCCATGTCCAGCGCTGCCACTGACTTGATTTGTGACAGTGAGCAAGTGACTAGAGCGGTCTGATCTTCAGGTCACCAAGTCTGTAAAATGGGGATAATACTTACCTATTTCACAGGGGTATTATGTCACTTAATTCATTAATGTCCATAAAGCGCTTTTGGACTCTTGGATGGAAGGTGCTAGAGAAGGGCAAAGTATTAGAATTTAGCTGGAAATAGCAACCCAGTAACAAACCTACCCAAAGGAATAGGGTTTGTGCCTGTGCAAAAATCTCCCACCTAAAATATATATTGAATTGGGTGGGGGGTTTTTTAATATCAGCCTGGATACTCCGCTAGTGTAAATCAGTATCAAGCCATTAGATGCTCTCCTGGATAACAAAAATATCCAGTTATAGTAAAAAAAAAAAAAAAATTTACTTTGGAAGAGCTATTAACCCTCATGCTTCAGGGCATCAGCCTAGCTACTGGGGGGCCAGGAAGACTCTCTCTGGTAGCCGCTAATCCCATAACTGCCCACTGCAGGGTTTCTTACACCTTCCCCTAATACTGGTCACAGCTGGTGACAGAATATTGGACTAGATGGACAATTGGTCTGATCTAATGTGGAAATTCCTATGTTACCTAAACCAGCATAGCACCTTTGGCTCTAATAGAACTCCGCCAGTTTAAACCAGCTGAGGATCTGGCAAATCAAGGTTTAACTGATTATATCGTCTATTGGGAATGCTGGAGAAATTCAAGGATTTTCCATGCCAGCTCTGAATGGGTAAGCAGCTAGATAGCCTCAGTGTGTCTCCTGGCCCCACTGACTTCACTGGGTACTAAGAGAAGCTAGACTGTTGATCATACCTGCTATTTCCAGAAGATGCATGTAAATCAGTAACAAGGCTTCCACTCTGGTTGCAGGGCAGCATGGCTCAAGATCTCACAGAAAAAGAACTGCTGAAGATGGAACTTGACCAGCTGAAAAAGGAAGTGAAGAATGAAAGGCAAATGGCAAGTATTTCTATTAGGGTCTAAGCACAATGGGATAAATTAATCCCTGGGGTAACCATCTAGACCAACGTTCGCCCCAATTTAAGGGCCTTCAATTAAATCTCAAATACAAAACCAGTGACTGAGTTTTCAGATTTCCACCTTAAAGATAGGATTTAGCCTTGTGTTTTACTTGTCCGGATAGCAAACTTCAGGCTTCTAGTGCATATGAAAAGGCTAGAGGAAAGGACGATTAGTGAGAGCACAAAGAGAAAATGATTTGGGCCCAGATCTCAAAGGTACTTAGGTGCCTGACTCCCACTGAAATCAATGAGGCATGAGGATCTTGGTCCCTGAGTATATGGAACACAGTTTTCTCTGTCTGCCATTTGAGTATTTAAAGGCACATGGCAAATAGCAGTTTGCCAACACAGCCCAATCATGTAAGGTGCCAAGTGCCCTCAACTCCTGTTATAGTCTATGGGAGAAGAGGGCACTCAGCACAAAGAAGGATTGGTCTCATGGTGCCAGATTTTTAGTTTAGCCTCATCCTGACATTCAGCACTCAACACACCACAATCTTTTCAAAAATCTGTCCCACAGTGTCTGTTGCTGCACAAAAAGCCTGGCCCAGTTCCACTGAAGTCCATGGGAGCTTGGATAACAGCAAGATCTTGCCACTGACTTCAATGATAGCAGGATCAGGCCCAAAACTGATGGAGAATGACATTAGATTTAAGACACTTATATGCAATGTTCCATTTGGTTTAAAAAAAAAAAGGTTAAGGGGCAGGAGAACTAATTTGTATAGGAGACCCCTTAAAATAATCCAGTTGTATTGTGCAGAGAAGACAAAGTCACGTGCTAGAGAAGACAAAAATCCTGGACTTGCTGAGGGAAGAGATTGACTAGAGGATTGAAAAGTCTTAGCCAATTTCCATCTTGTACCGTTAAATTACTACAGTATAACCCAGCTGAATTAACATGGCCAGAGTTCTTAAAACAGGAGCAGGGTAGCAGTGCGGTCTCTCTGCATGGAATTCATTGGCTGTTTCATCAGCCCAACGTTGATGTTCTATTCTATATAGGTTTTTATACCGCACTCATCACCAGAGTATCTGAGCGCCTTCCTGTAGTGCATTAAGCAACGTGACTATGTATCTGTCATGTGTTTGTTCTCTTATCCTCTCCCCAGAGGGAGAAGTGTGTGCAGGGGAATGTCTTGTTTTGCTAGGGTTTTTGGTTTATTTGTTAAATATATATCTGTTGCTACACGTTTACATTAGAGAAGACAAGGTCAAAAAATGTGCCTTGCACTTGGAGCGAAAAGCGATGAGGTCTGTTCTAGCCCTGAGTGCCTGGGGGAGTTCATTACACAGTCTCGGACCAGCCCCGAAGAAGGTTCTGTCTCCCGTACAGATAAGCTTTTATCCTTATTGTTGAAAGTTCCATAGTGCCAGAGGGCGAAGTTGTTGACTCCTCCAGGTGTTGAGTACCCTCAGCTCCAGGGAGCTTTTACTGGCTTGCTGAGGGTTCTCAGCACCATGCCCCAGGGTTCTGGGAAATTCCTGCTGCTGATCAAGGGAAGTGGCCTGCTTCAGAAAAATAATTCCCATCAAGGTGCAAGATTCAGAGAGGGATTGGACATTTATAGGGATAACAAGGCTATTCAGAGTTAGAACAGTTAATGCTAAGAAACGGGTCTGGTAGGGATCTAAAACTACATGCTCCAAAATCTTCAGCCAATCTCTAACAATTAGGGGCTCGGATGACTTCTACATGGGGAGAGGCTTCCTGCACCTTCTTCTGCATCATCTAGCACTCGCCACTGTCCTGTGTCCGACAGTGGAGTAGAGGGACCATGAGTCTGATACCGTCTGGCCAATCCTATGTAATGAGATCTCATGATCATAATCTAAAAAGAGATTCTTCTTTCTCTACAGATCTCCAAGACGGGCAAAGAACTCAAGGAGTATATAGAATCCATGGCAGCAGAGGACCCTCTTTTGAAAGGTGTTCCTGAGGATAAAAACCCTTTTAAGGAGAAGGGAGGCTGTATAATTAGTTGACCCCCGCCACTCACAGACAAACTTCGGACCCTTTCCTCCTACAAAACCAAGACTGTAAGAATTTTGCTTACCCTGTAGCATGATCTTTCCATTGGGTGGGGCAGCCCCCAAAAACGAAACCCTTTTGAAGTGTAGCACATCTATGGGAGGGAAAAAAAGGATATTGGAGACATACCTAAATTTAGCAGCAAGAAGGCAGCCTTCTTCTCTAGGCTCTCACAGCCGATTTCCATTTCGTTTAATATACACACACATTTGTTGAACTTGCTGCACTTCTATCAATCAACACTTCAATCAGGCATTAAGAAAACCTTGAGACTATAAAGCTTAACTTCAGACTTGACCTCCCTAGCACAAGGTGGAAGTCAATGCCACTTGACTTGGGCGACTGTGAGCAAGTCACTTAACCTCTGTGACAGAGTTTCCCCATCTGTAAAACAGGGATAATAATGCTTGCTCACCTTTGGCAAAGCATGTAGAGATCTAAGTTTCAAAGGTGCTAAGTATTATTATAACTATCACGGCCAAGGATTTTAGGGGGCCTGATAAATTGACATATTTACTCTGTCCACATACCAGGCTACCAGTTACTTGGAAGTTGCTCATTTATTCATTACATTATTTGGGGAGAGACACCCCTCCACCCCGTCTGCCCCCAACAATGCACTCAGATCACGATGCAAGAACAAATATTGAATACAGACATAATTTAACCATTTAAAACACAAACACCCTCTTAAAATACAAATTGAGTCTAGTGATGGGTATGCAGGAGAGGAAGATAATAAGGAGCCAATAGCAATCATTGACGGGGAAAGGCACCATGGAGAAATGTTTGCAGGGAGATTTTTTAGAAGTGGGGAATGAGCTAAGTCTCAATTCCAGATCTTTAGAGCCGCCATTGTGATGGCTTGGCCATCTGCCCAGCCTGAAATGTGCAGCATTTTCCTGTATGGCACACAAGTCCAAAGAAGGGCACAGAAGGGAGCAAAGTTTGCAAGCGACTTGTTCAGAGCCCTCTTCTCCCTGCCTCTACTTCCCCCCATCATCTTATCTGAGGCTGGGCGGATTCCTTTACAGCAGGAGAGAGCAGTGAGGAGGTAGATGTTGGAAGCTGCGCTGGAACTACGGTTGTTTTGACCATCATTTTAACTTTGGAATTCACCTGCGTTCATGTCGGTAACAGCCAGAGTCCTCTGCTCACCTCTTGGGAGTTTGAAGGCCTGTGGATTAACAGAACCGAGGGGAAGCAAGATGATGACAGGAAGCTCAGAGATGTGGAAATGGGAAATAACCCAGGGGTGAAAGGCTTCATCTGCTCAAACCTAGCCTGGGGTGGTAGTGAGAGTTATTCCTCAGATTGCAGATCCATGGTTTGGGTGATCTCAGTCCAGTCCCCAGTGGTCAAGTACCCCTAAGCTGCCCCACATTTAGCACTAACTTGCTGACAGGCTTAGGAGCCAAGCACTAAATGAGCTACATTGAGGCATTGGCAGGGCAGCATGAGGTGCTCACCTTGCCACCTCCCATGCTGCTACCTGTCCAACAGATGAAGTGTATCCGTCTGCAACCACCAAGGCTGAAATGTTCCAAGAGCCGATGTGATTATGGGTGTCTTCATTTTTTGGGGAGGCCCCCCCCAAAAAAAACCCCACTTGCGCAATAACCTAAATCAACAGAAAAAAATGTATATTAAAAATAAGACAGCAAGGAATCCAAGCTTCCTGTCTGAGGCAGAGCTGTCTACACCACTACCACTTCCCCTTTGAGTAAGACGTGTGGCCAAGATCACAACTCAGACCCCTGCTGCATCCTGTGATTTCCTCTGTAATAGTGTATTTGATATTAAAGGATATGAAACACTTTACTTCGGAGGTACAAAAGACACATTTTAAGTAGGCATGTATCAGTGTAAGGTTTAGTAGCGTTAAAAGACAATAAAGGCTTTTCAGCGAAGGAATTGTCCACTCTCTTCCCTCCCGTATAAAAAACAACTGACGTGGGAAGAGGTGGCACGGTTATCTTTTGGCGTCTGTTGTAGCAATTCTGCATGTCAAGCGTTTGTGCTGGAACACGCCAAAGTACCGGCTTCTGATACTTTAGTGGCAAAGTAGAAGTCATATCAGGACTGGCTTAGTCGGCACCACATACGAACAAATCTCTCTAGCTGGCCATTTGACTTGCATGATTTCCGTCTGCCAAGCCAGCGCTCGCACTAACTTGAGGCTCAGTCCTGACCACTGCTGAACCTCATGGGAGCGGAAGGGAGCTCCACCTTCTTAGGATCAGGCCCTACATGCATCATAAAGGAGCCCAGCTCCCATACAAGAGATGAGTGTGGGGAGGAGGAATAACATATAACTAATTTTTTAAGCCACATCGAGAATTATGCATTTCCTCTGTAGCTAACATCAGCCTGCTCAATGTCTTGTATGCAATTAGTAGAAGATGTTCTGTTCATTCTGTTGTGGACTATAAATAAATTTGCTGAATATTTTAAACATGGCTCATCTTTCTTCCTTTTTTTGTGGGGGTGGTGGTAGTGTTAGTTGTAGTTTTGAGAAGTACCTGTTCCTGATTTTACAGCTCGGAACACAGAACCCTCTGCTCAGTTAACCTGACGGAGGGCAAAACCACCCAGCAATCTTTCCTTGAGTGAAATTCAAATTGAAGTTCATGGGAATTTAGCCTGAGTCAGGCTTAGAGGGGTTTGACCCATTGTTGGCACTGAAAGGGCAAAGTATCTGACATCTTTTGAAAGGGTCTTTCCAATCAGCACACACAATATGCTGTTTTCTAATCAAGACAAACATCTTCAGGTTCAAAACAAGACCCAGTTTCTCATCCCCCTCCCCCAAATCTTCCTCTCCCAACAGCCTCTGCTGGAATGTGTCACCCATTATGTCACCATTAGGCACTTATGAAATATTAAAACTTGCCCACTGACAGATAAGAGCTTTGCTCTTTGTTTCCATTTCCAATCTGAGAGGGAGGGGAGGGGGGAAGATAGATCAAATATACCCAGGTATTACTGTTCTCAAAGCAGATTGACCTATTTAATGAAAGCTAAGCTCCTTGTAACCTGCGTCAGAGTGAAATAATCTGTATTAAAGGGATTTGGGTTTCTGGGCCTTTCCTGTTTGACTGGCCTCTGGTCTTTATAAAGGATTTACCAACAGCACTGAAAGCAGGGGTTGTAACCAGCCTTTGAAATTTGTTTAAGCAAGGGCCTCCTGAACCCTGCCTGCAGCGTCCTTAGAATCTCCTGAAGCAACCAAGCAACTCCAATCCTGGAACTTTTAAGATTCCACCAGCTTGGTACAGGAAGTCAATGTTAGTCAATGGAATACCCTCGGCAGGTCAGAAGTCTTCGATAGGGCAGGTGGGGTTTCTAAGATCCAGGATCATACATCATCACCAGTAACAGCAAGTCAGATTCTGCCCTCACGTGTGTAATGCTGTTGTCTTTACATCCTGCACTCACCTACACTCAGGTAGCTCCATTATCTCCGGGGGGGGGGGAGGGGGAGCAGCACTGGTATAACAAGGCGGAGTTTGGCCCCACAATTAAAATTTAGTTAAAAATTCTGTTAATGATGACAACCCGGCTCAATCTCTTTGCTGTGTTGTTTCAGCTGAGCTAAGAGAAGTAGAATCTTATTTTTGCCACTAAAGTTGGAGGGTGTGCAGCATAGATCTGCTGACTAAGGGGGGCATTTTTACCTAGCCACCTTCTGCAATAGAACCACATTGTAAGTGGCAAACTGTTGCAGGTTCGTACTTGGAAATTAACATCCTAGAAAGAGCAAAGTAAGAGCAATTAACATCCTAGTAAGTGTCTCCATCAGGTAATTTAGTGTTTTCAGTTTTTTTGCCTGCCATATTCCCAAATCAGCTAATTCCCCTGGTCTCAGCCCCATTTGGGGGCAAATCTTCATTCCTCAGTCTGCATTTTGCCCCCATTTTCAGACTCACAGGATGAAGCAACAGCTGTTTGAACATTGACACAGATATTGCAATTCAGAGACACTCCCCAGAACCAGCTGCAAACAAGTGGAGAGAGGAAAGGTGATGCCCTCTCAACAGGTAGGTGGTCATAGACCAGTGGTTCCCAAACTGGGGTTTGTGAACCCATGGGTGTTCGTGAAATGTTACAGGGGGGTCTTGGGGAAAAAATTCCCTAATGGCAGACAGAGCTGTCCCTTGGGACCCCGGGGCCAGCAGCCCGGAGCCCCTGGACTTCCAAGAGCTACACAGATCAAAGCAAGCATATCTATCACAGTGAGGAGATTTAAACTTCAAGACTCCTTATAAGAAATGGAAAGGGAGGTGGATATTTTTTGCTGTTTTTTAAAATTAAATAGGCAGCTAGCATTGTTTTTAAAATTATTATGAAGAACAAGTTTAAGCTTTGTTGTAACGTGCGTTGTTTGCCTGGACTGCTCAAGACCTGACTACTTGTGTAAGAGGAACTCTTTGAGTTGGCTTCTTATATATCGTCATGCTGTTTCACATCTGATACTCCTTGATGAAACATAGGAGCCTTGTCTTATAACAGGCTTATTCAAAGTGATACAAGCTACAAAAGTGAAATCTTGGAAGAGTGTTGCCATTTTCATAATGTACTAAAAATACTGTAATTATAACTATTAATTAATAATAAATAGTGTGTAATAAGCATGTCATAATAACAAATTTTATATTTCCAAGATCACTGCTTTTATAATTTTTACTCAGGTAAAGGAGAAAATCCCTGGAAATATTCATTTTTAGGAGGAGGTTCATGAGGCTTGGCATTTTATTGAAAGGGATTCAGAGGTTGTTAAAGTTTGGGAACCACTGTCATAGACAAAAGACAGGCAGTGGTCTCACTCAATCCTTATTTCAGCAGCTGACAGACAACAAGAGTCACAAAATCAGTCAGATCTCCACCTGTGATCAGTCTGCCATCTGGTGGTAGTATCATCTATTCAGGTGCCAGGAAAGAGAGAACCAGTTCTCTCACCCCAGACTAGGAAGCCTTCACTGTAATTAAATTTTAAATTAATGGAGATAGCCCATGTCCTAGAACTGGAAGGTCCTTGAAAGGTCATTGAGTCCAGCCCCCTGCCTTCACTAGCAGGACCAAGTACTGATTTTGCCCCAGATCCCTAAGTGGCCTCCTCAAGGATTGAACTCACAATAATTAGTCAGAGCAATCTTGGTTTGAAATACCAGGAGAGCTACTGAAGTACTCCAACATTTCATTTGTATGCAATGTCAGGATGGCAACTGACAAAATGCTACAGTCTCTTTATAAATAGCTTCCTTTCTCTTGCTACACAACTTTTCTCCTTCCCACACATCAATGGCCCTTAAAAATCATTCTGAAATCTCTATGACACATTTTAAAATTTGCTAGCATCTCTCATTCTAAGGGCACACGGCACTCCGGAAATGCAAGTGCCATGGGCACACAGCAGACCTAGCATTGGGGGAGAGGAAACTGCGGGGGCAAACCAGTCATAAGAAATAACACTGGGGTCTTCAGAGTTTGTGCAGATCATATCCCGAAGGACCTACTCCTGAGTGCACAGCAGTGAATTGAAGGATGAAGGGCTGAGTTGACTCTGGGATTTGAAGAACCTGTGCTTTGAGAAGTTGCCGTCTTTCCAAGCCACTGCATCAGCCAGCCGTGACAAACACCTGGTTAAAAGAGGCAAGTTAGTTAAGGCCTGCTTATTAGGAGCGCAGCGCGTCCATCACTCCGGTCCACGTCAGTGGTGGTCAACCAGGCCCAGCGCTAGGTTTTTTGCCGCCCCAAGCGAAAAAAACCCCCTCCAAGAACACCCAGAATCAGGGCCGGCTCCAGGGTTTTTTCCGCCCCAAGCGGCCACCCAAAAAAACCAAAAAACAAACAAAAAAGCCACGATCGCGATCTGTGGCACTTCGGCAGGAGGTCCTTCGCTCCGAGCTGGAGTGAAGGACCCACTGCCGAATTGCCGCCGAAGAGCCGGACGTGCCGCCCCTCTCTGGTGTGGCCGCCCCAAGCCCGTGCTTGGTTTGCTGGTGCCTAGAGCCGGTCCTGTGGGCAACACCTCTAAAAAACCAGGCCCTGGGAGTACAAGCAGGGGGGTGAGAGGGCCCAATGGGGTGCTCACCCCACTGAGTTAGACTCAATGGGGAGGGGAAACTGAGGCACAGAGCAGGACAGGGACCGTGCAAGGTCTCCCAGGAGGCCAATGGCCAAGCTGGGACCAGCACTCAGGTCTCCCAAAGGCCAGGCCAGCGCGGTACCCCCGGGGATGCCAAGGAGCCCGCGTGACGGGCGGGGGGGGCTCGCAGCCGAGCCCGCGATGCGGGGGGGGGGGGGCGCGCTGAGGGACGCCCGGGGTCCAAAGCGAGGCGAGGGCGGGAAGAGGCTGCGGCTCCGAACCCGGCGGCCCCAAGACCCAGCGGGTAGCCAATGCGAGGAAGGGCATCGCTGGCCAGCCAATAGCAGGGCGGGGCAGGCGGGCGCACGCCCTCACTCAGCCAATCTGCGCTAGGGAGGGCGGGGCCAGGCCCTTCGGCGTCACTCGGATTTCTTCGGTTCCTCTGCCCCCCCCATCTCCCCGCGCATGCGCACGACTCTGCCCTCGCTACCCTTTGCTCCCTAGACACAAAATGGAGTCCCAGCTTAGCCCCCGCCTCCTTTGATATTAGCCGGGGGGAGCGTTTGGGGCTCGCCTCCTCCCGCCTAGCCCGCGACTCCGCTCTGCCTGTGAATTTAGTAAGGCCTCGGTGGCAAAAAGTCCCTAGAGGTCCCACCGAGATTTGAACTCGGATCGCTGGATTCAAAGTCCAGAGTGCTAACCATTACACCATGGGACCAGCTGCCTAGGATAGTGCGTGGAAACCTTCCTCAGCCATGACCAGCCGCCTTGCAGGAAAAACACCCTTCCTTCCTGCCCCTTTCCCCGCAGCATCCTCTCCCCCACTCAGTCCTGTGGGAACCAGGCAGAGCCTAGCGTGGATGCACCATGCACCCTACAGAGGGTAGTTTGCTCCCCGCAGAAAGCCCTGATTAAATGCTGCAGCAAGACTCTGCAAGCCACATGCTGCCTTTGCAGGCTTGCAAGCTGGGGTGATACTAGGGCTAGCTGGACCCGAGACGCTTCCCGGGGCGTGCAGCAGGAGGGGCTACTTCTGCACTTGAACCATGCTGGGCTCTCTCGCCCTTGGACAGCAGAATGTGAACCCTGGGGGATTAGGCTTTAATTGTAACCCCCAGAAGGCCAAGCTGCAGACATGAGAAAAGGCAGATGGGACCCCCACCCCAGCGTTTGTGAGGACTTGTGCATTCTCTTCTAGTCCTCCCTCCACCCCTGTTTTGGAGACAGTTGAACCTTTACCAAGAGGAGGATTTTGATCTGTGGAAACACTTATTTAAAAAGCACTGGTCCCTGCTGCTGCACCAACCCTGGTGCAAGCTGCAATGTTGCAACCATGGCTATAGAGCACTGAAGTGTGTGTTGGTTTGGTTTGGTTTTATGGACAGGAAAACAGCTGTGGTCTCCATGGATGAAATTCTCTGCTCCCATCCCGGCTCTGATCTGCGCTCAGGACATGAACCTATCATAGCCAGAGAGCAGGTAGCAGAGTTGAGTTGCAGCCTGTAGACCCGAAAAGAGATTTTTGCTTTCGGTGCAAACACTTGTTGGGAACTAATATGCTGCAATAACACTCTTGCAAGCAAGAGTGGTTGAGACCATGACTGTGGAAGACCGTTTGCAGTATTATAAAGGGAGAGAAAGGTGCATTCTCACCCTCAGCGTTATAAACTCTTCTCTCGGGGCCCCAGGCTGCAGCACAGCTGAGATACTCTGCTTCCCAAACTGCAGGTCGCGACCCAGTACTGGGTTACGAAACATAAGGCACTGGGTCACAGCGGCTCTAGTCAACATCGCCGACCGGGCCTGTCGGTGGTGCTGCCCGGCTAAGGCAGGATAATTCCTATCTGTTCTAACACTGGTCTGCGGCCCGGAAGTGGCCAGCAGCAGATCTGGCTCCTAGGCCGGGGCGGGGGCCACGGGGTTCTGCGCACTGCCCCCGCCCTGAGCACCAGTTCCAGATGCCTCCGCTTAGGAGCCGGCCTTGCTGCTGGCCACTTCTGGGGCGCAGCGCGGTCCGTGGCGCCAGGACAGGCAGGAAGCCTGCCTTAGCACCCCCGCTGCGCCACTGACCGGGAGCCGCCCGAGGTAAGCCTGCTCCCCAACCCCGCGCCCCAATCCCCAGCCCTGAGCCCCCCCAAACCCAGAGCCCCTTCCTGCACCCCAAACCCCTCATCTCCAGCCCCACCCCAGAGCCTGCACCCCCAGCCCAGAGCTCTGACCCCTTCCCACACCCCAACCCCATGCCCTAGTCCAGAGCCCCCTCCCATGCCCTGAACCCCTCATTCCCAGCCCCACCCAGCAGCCCTCACTCCTGCACCCCAACCCTCTGCCCCAGCCCTGAGCCCCTCCCACACCCCAACTCCATTGGGTCACAGGCATCAAAAATTTTCTTCAACTGGGTTGCCAGAAAAAAAGTTTGAAAACCACTGGGCTAAGACCGGTTCTCAAACTTCATTGCATCTCGACCCCCTTCTGACAACACGACCCCAGGAGCGAGGACCAAAGCCTCAGCCCGCCCGAGCCCTGCTGCACTGGGTGGGGAGGCCAACGCCCGAGCCCCACTGTCCGGGGCAGGGGTGCCAAAGCCAAAACCTGAGAGATTCAGCCCCGGCAGGGCCGTCCTTAGGCATATGCGACTGCGTAGGGCACCCAAAAATTTGGGGCACCAACCTCGCGGGCTGCTGCGTAGACGCCGCTCCAGCCCCTCCCCAGTGCTGGGCCCGCAGGTTTCTCCCCGAGCAGATGCCCTGGCCCCTTCCCTCCCCTCCCCTCCCCTCAGCAGGAGCGCTTGGAAGTTTGCATGTAAGTAAATAGGGGGAGCTGGGGCAGGCGAGGCTGGGAACAGAGTGGGGTGGGGGAATACCCGGAGTCTGGGACGAGAGGGGGTGGGCGTGGGACTTTGGGGAGTGCGGGGGGCAGAGGAGGAACTGTGCTGGGGAATTTGGCCGGGGGGGAGGGTCAGGTAAGGCTAGGAACAGAGCCGGAGGGTACCCGGAGTCTGGGAAGAGAGGGGGGAGCCAAGCTTGGGGGCGGGGGGTAGAAGTGGGCATGGGACTTTGGGGAGCACGGGGGGTGGAGGAGGAAGTTTTCCAATACTCTAAGCTTATGTTTGTGTTACTAAGAGTAAGTCAGGCATAGGGGCACCAGTTTAATAATACTGCCTAGGGCCCCATAAATCCTAAAGACGGCCCTGAGCCCTGCCCTTGGGCTTTGGCATCAGCCCACGGTGGTGGGACTTGGCCTTTGGCTTCGGCCCTGGGCCCCAGCGAGTCTAAGCCAGTCCTGGCAACCCCATTAAAGTCGGGTCCCGACCGACAGTTTGAGAACTGCTGGTCTAAGAAGACCAACCAGACCAAAGGCTGGATGGGTAAATAAATAGAGGCACAGAGGGATGAAGGGACTTGCTTAAGGTCACGCAGCAGGCCAGTGACGGAGCTGGAAACAGAACCCACCTCTCCTGACTCCCGCACCAGTATCCTACCTGCTAGACGATGCTGCCTTTCATGGGAGGAAAACCTCTCCATGGTGCACGTGAGCTTGGTCGGAGGGGGTATACGCTGCCCTGATTCGTATGGCAGTGACAGATAACTGTTAGCTGAAAGAATAAAACCAAACCAAACCTCTATAGGCAGAGTTCCTACTGCCTCTGCTGACAACTATGATTTGATCCAAACCGGAGCAATTATTAGCTAAAACTGGCCCACAGACTTTGCTCCTGCATAGAAGGATGAGCTGGATTATACTGTTAAAAATAATTTAACAAGTTGTTTTACTGGTGAATTGTATTTATCCAGTGGTTTCTTTCTGGCACTGGTGTTCTGGGTTGCATCTCTTACGAGGCCTGTATCTATACAGTTCAGTGTGTGTTCTCTTTCTGCATTTCCAAAAGAAAATTTATTTAGCTTAGTTTGCAGTTATTTTTTTAAAAGATCAATATTTATGTCCTTTTAAGCTGACCAGTAGTTTGTTTGCAGTATATTTTTAGTAGGTGTTTGTTCTCATGGAGAGAATTTTGCATCGGGTGACGGTACAGCTGTGCCATTCCCCACAGAGGAAGTTTTTTACCTTTGAGTAGTTTGGCTGAAAATCTCAGAATTGGGGACATTTCCAGTAGCATTGCTGGGTTGTCGCTGTCTATATTGAAACGGACATATTTTGGCTTAGAGGTTGTGAGGTTTGTCCTTATCCTGATTTTAATAGACCGACACATAATTGAATTACATTTTATGTTTTTTCACCAACAATTTGACTTTGCAGCAGTTCCAGGTTTCTAGTTTTGTGCCACGCTAAAGCAATTGCTTTTTAAAAAAGGCCACAGAGCAGGTAAATATTCTCCCCCTAGCTCATTTTAGGTGGTTTTGTTTATAAGCGTCTTCAGGGTAAAGATGTGTTTGCTACTTTGTTTCTCAGGTAGGTCTGCAGTTATTGCACTTGTTAAGAGGGTGGGCTGTAGACACTGAATACCTGGAGATAAGATGATATTGGGTACCTGTGTACTAGGGATGTGAGTTTCTGGGAGGGCTGAATAGCTCTCTTTGCCATATCGCTCAGATTAGTGCAATTGGTTACTTGTGGGGAGCTCATGGTCCTCGGGCGTGTTTGGTTGGTTAGAATCAGCATGTTCTGGGAATGGATCTCTCCTTATTTCTGGGCTTCCTACATAGCCAGGGTATTTAGCCGCCAGTCGATTCTGAGATCTTACTGCAGGTTTGATTGTGGCTTGTTGTTGTGTGTCTGTGTGTGTTAAAGGCGCACACATCTCTTAGCTATATTGAATGATGCGGGGGGGCAGAGGGGAGAAGAAACTACCGCTGCTTCAGTGTTTAAACACAGCCACTTCCTTGTCCCAAAAAGAAAAATTACCATAATGCCTCAGAATAAAGGGTACTAAAAATAGAGAAGAGGAACTCAATGCGAAGGAATCCAATAAATCCCAGGAAGGTCGCAATCATAGATACATTTAAACATCTTTCTTCCTTGTTGATCAAGAAGAGTAAATGCAGAAGTAATTTTGTATTCTCTGATTGCCTGTATTTCTGCCAACAAAAAAACTTGAAAGTAAGATATTCTCAAAAATACCTCACTTTATGTAAAAAGCAACAGAGGGTCCTGTGGCACCTTTAAGACTAACAGAAGTATTGGGAGCATAAGCTTTCGTGGGTAAGAACCTCACTTCTTCAGATGCTGCGTCTAATGCTGCTATTTCTAGCCACGCTAGCACAGGTTTGGCTTTCCATGCTGCTGTCACAGCTTGACTGCAATGTACACATACCCACTAATGTCCACAAGTGAATGGACCTGGTTCTCTAGCTCAAGCCGTAGCAGCTTGGTTTTAGACCCAGAGGACCCATGGTTCAATTCCTTTACGGGGAGAAGTGATTCAATCCCGAGTGGACCATACAGAGCCTTGTAAAATAGTTTCACAGCCATTCTTCGGGAAATGCAGGGTCGCTTATCTTTGCTTTTCAATTTTTTTTCCCCTCCCCAGAATTTTTCGTGGATGGACTGGGCATCTTGCTTGTCGGTTCCTGCACTGATGTTTCTATCGGTCACCGAGCACATAATCCCGCATCTGATCCCAACCTGACCAAGGTAGAAGACCAATATAAAAGGTTCCGGACCAACACCCAAGCACAGGTCCAATTTAAGCTATCTTTGCACTACTTCAAAAACCAACTGAAATGCTACTCAAGAAGATAACCCTTTTATCCTGCTGTGTGCAATGCCTACTGTAACCTCCCTGATGCCCATGGCAGGAGTACACTCTGGGTTTCCGCCTAATTGCCTTATTTGTGCCACACTGGATGCCTTTCTTTTGCACCTACCTTTCTATAAAAACTTTTGAATGGGCTGAATTTGGGATTCTGGACTCTCTTGGCCGAAACTTGAAATGGCAACGCAGTCAAGTGTGTTATCTGCACTCGGGTCCTGCTACAGGCCTTGCAATGGTGTTTCCTCATAGGGTGAGGCCGCTTGGTTAATACTGAGCAAGATTCTTCATGGCCTTGCACTGTGTCCTTTCCAGCCAGTGCAGAGTGAGGGTGGGTGGGGCGGAATTCCTACTGGTTTGATCTGGTAGCACTCCACATCCTCCCTGCATTTGACTGGATTATCAGGGATGCACAGACTGTCTGACGTCCTTCTTGGAGGAGTAACTGGAATGTGTGTTCTCAAGTCGAGTGCCAGAAGCACAATGATTTTCATGTTTAGACTGAAGAGCTTGGTTTATCCTAAATGGAGTTAGTATGTTACCTATGCAATATCTGTTGAGAATTTCTTACAGTTACTCCTTACTTAAAGACCAGAGTGGGGATGTTGGAAACCTGGCTTAGTTAAGAAGCTTTCACTTAGGAGGAGGAAAATGCAAACTCTCCTAATTGTCCTGCCTGAATGCAATCCATGTTCACATGACCCGAGTTCTTTTCATCTGCGAGCTCGTGGCCTATGTTAAATGGTGGAGTTCAGTTCCTAGTGGGCAGCTAACCACATCATCAAAAAACCCCACCATTAGCAAGCACAGTGGTGGGACCTGGATGCTAATCTCAACCAAGAAGTAAATGCCACAAGCAGACCACGGGTCTTACGCCTCAGGGCCCCGTACTTCTGACGAGATGAGAGAACTTGGCCTTGGTATGAAATGTTCTGACGTTGGTTAGGCAAATGACCTAGCTTTGATTTTTGCTCAGCTGTTTTGTTAGCTCCTCTCTGGGTGTCTTGTAGCCTGTGAGCTCACTGGGGCAGGGGCTATCTCTGTTGTTATTGGACAGCACCTACCTTGATCGGGGTTCCTTTACACTACTGTGATGTGGATAATTAAAATACCTTATTTGAGTTGAGAATTTTCCTTGTGGTTCTACTTCTATCCATTCATGCAAGAGCTGAAATTCTTAGTGCTCTGTGTCCCCCGGAGGTGACACTGAGAGCTTTCTACATCATGGTGATTAAAGGGATTTTCTAGTACACTTACTATCCTTTTATAATTAGGTAAGAGATTGTGTATTCTCAATGCTGCAGTGTTGTTCTTAAAAATATTTAAGGTGGGTGTTTTAAAAGCTACCACAAAAAGAAAAGGGCCCTGCTTGAAAGCCAGCCCTTACTGCTGTCAGAGAGTCCAGGTGTGCAATACAGTTGAGGTGCATAATGATACCTCATGATTCTATAGACCGCTTTAGTTGTGGCAGCAAAATACAAAGCACTCAGTTAATATGGATAGGGAGGAATCCCGTACCTACTTGCTCCAGTTTTTAAACTTGATTAGCTGCCACAGTCAGTCCCTCGGATTCACTTTATTACTGGTGCACCTCGAAGCTCCAACCGAGATCACAGATTTAGGGCCTCATTTTGCTTGACTCTGTACAGATGCATGGTGTGAGACCATATCTGCCTACGGAGCTTACAATCTAGGTGGAGGAGACAGGGGTGGGAGAAAGGCAATGTTACTGAGTGAGAGCTTCGGTGACCATGAGTGTCTGAATTTTTGCCAGCACTAATGTTCTTGGAAGGCAAAGCAACAGAGGGTCCTGTGGCACCTTTGAGACTAAGAGAAGTATTGGGAGCATAAGCTTTCGTGGGTAAGAACCTCACTCCCCACGAAAGCTTATGCTCCCAATACTTCTGTTAGTCTCAAAGGTGCCACAGGACCCTCTGTTGCTTTTCACAGATTCAGACTAACACGGCTACCCCTCTGATACTTGGAAGGCAAAGTAACCTTTGGGTGACCCAGGGGAGGCTCCATTTCTGAAGTGCCTACTTTTTAGAGAGTGGGTGCTCAGCGCTTTCTGAAAACCAGGGCCCTTGAAGATGCCTTCCACAGCAGGCCCTCAAAATCACTAACCACTTCTCTCTTTGTACTGCAGTAGCACCTGGAAGTCCCAGCTTTGACTGGCCCTTTAGGGTGCGAGACACTGCCCAGGCAAGTCTCTGCTAAGCCTTTGTTCTGAGAGTGTTTGCTCCCAAAACCCTGTGATCTGAACCTCTGCATTATCTAAACCCCTTCCTCATCTCTCATGTACCTCATGTGGGGGGACAAGGAAAATCCAGAGGTGCGGATAATAGAGAAGAGACCCCTGGGCAGGCCTCAGAGGAGGATGCAGCTGTGAGGGAGGCCACGTTGCTGGTGAATGGCTCCTGCCACAGTGCAGGGATCCTCCGCAGCCCTGCTGTCACGGGAGCGAGTGAGCGGGGCCGATCCTTGCAGGCGCATGGTGCAGGGAAGGCTGCAGGCCTGGGGCGGCAGAGTACTGGCCAGGGGGTTCTGCTCTGTCCTGCATCTTCGCCTGCAGGGATCAGGAACCCCCTACAGCACCAGTGTCATGGGAGTGAGTGAGCAGGGCAGAGCAGAGACCCCTGGCCTAGACTGCAAGGAGGCCGCCATGTGGAAGGCTGCTGAATGACTCCTGCCCTCTCAATTATCCCAATTCCCGATGGGCCAAATCAAATCCGAGTCCTCCATGCTGTTCAGATAACCGCGAGTATACTGCAGAGTCTCCAGTGAGGCATCTGTGGTGGTGTGAGGCATGCAGATCTGTTACGTCCATGCCTTGAATCCTCTCAGCACCCACCCATCCACTCCTCAGCATCGCTGACCTCTTTGTTTCTCCTAAGAATGGAGATAAACACACAGGTGCAGTATAATTTTTTTTTTTTTGCTTTATTTTTAAAAATGAAACAGTGGAGTAAAGCGGTTTGTGGCAAAACCTAGCTGGAAGAAAAATGGAGCCCGCGTCCATCCACAATCACAACTCCAGATCTGAGCCAACTAACCTGCCTCACAAAAGTACAAGGTAAAGAACATGGAGCAGAAGGGGAAGGGGGAGTAGAGAGAAAATAAACAATCAACCGAAGGGAGGAAAAATATCATTACAGTCAAGTACAACTTTTCGATGAATAGTCTGAAATTGCATTGGATCGGTGACTGGGGTGCAGGGGGAAAGCAGCACACACTTGTTTGAAGAAATCAATCAGGTGGACTAGCTATTCCCCGTGTCCCCCAATATCAGGCATGAGGGAGTACAGAACAACATGGCAGCTGACTGGGGATTCAAAACCAGGATAACTGCAATATGGATTAGTTCTACCTCTCTATCTGCACATCTGTGTATTGAACTGTCCTAAGCTTCAGACGATCATGTAAGACGTCACTTTAGTCACACAAGCCATTCCTGTTTGGTTGTTACTCTTATAATCCAGCCCTGATTGCTTTATCGTTAACCCACGCTGACCACTGGTAAAAGCGAATCATCCAGATTTCACACCACCTAAAAATACTTCCCCACTTTAAAGGGATACCATCTGGGGTGCAAAGGTGCTGCAAAAATCAATATGGGCTAAATGGCAATTGAATGCCAGTCTATGTGAAAGTGACCAGTCATCACACGAACAAAGCGTCCGCTGAGACAGAGGAGCTGAGAGAAGTTGTACGGCTGACAGAAGTAAATATCAAAGTTAAAAAGAAAAAAAAAAGTAATGGAATATTGAGCATTTAAAAAAAATTAGTCACAACTGAACAATTTAGCACTGCGGAGGTTTGGAACTTTTACAACTAATGAACACATTAAAGTGAAAAGAAACCCATAAATTCTATTTTTTTTTTTAAAGAACATTTTTTCTTTGGAAAAAGAGAGTAATTTTTTCCTCTACACTACAGCATGTGGAGTTGCCACTACCTATTTTATTCTATTGTCACTAAGAGGTAGATAAACAAAGATGAATTGGTTATATATAAGGTCATGTCCCCTTGTTTGACATGCAGTGAAGCTAACGTACTCCATGGGCACTGGGTGTTTAAGGAATAGCTGGGGGCTTCACATGGGGGAGGAGTGGGTTTAATCAAGGTTTTGTAGTTCACTGGAACAGATCTGATTAAAGGGACAGTGTCAGATTTTTATTTATTTTTTTAAAGGGCGGAGAAATTCATCCTTAAAGCCAGTGGAGTTTATCTTGGGATGAATTGGGTGCATCTTTAAAAAGCATAATTTCCTTAACTCTTTTAACACACACTAAATAATTTTGTAAAGACCAGCTCTGCCCCGATTTATAGGCCGTTTAGTCCTATTAATTTCCCAGTATGTTAAATCTAAAGCGATTTTAGCTAAGAATCTAATTTGTGTTCCATTAATGATTTACTTTATGCACTGTGGTCTGTTTGGCTGCTGTTTAGAATTAATTTAATTTTTCAGTTCCTTCCCTACCGGCACACTTGCTGGTGTTTCCAGGTGACGAAATACAAATTTCTACTGGAATCATTAATGTAAAGAAGTATCTGTGGAAACAGTTCTAGTTTGGCCAAATATTGCTTTTTGGGGTCATAAAACCAACAGTGTGAGCCTGGGTTCACCTGACACCATCTCTTTAATCATTCACTGTTGAAGATCACCGCTCCTTTCACTGGTACACTGCACAGTTCACACCCTACCCGCTGCCTTTGGGAATGGGGAGATCACCTCTGTGGTGAGACAGCGTTGGGCTTTTTCTCCCCTCCCACAGGCCAGTTTCGAAAGCGGCCCAGCTTTGCCCGCCGCCGCTCCTGCCGTGTCACACACAGACCACGTGTCCGAGAGGTATTAATCTTGAACAAATATTTTAAAAATTCTGTAATGTACAATAAAGCAGCAGGGTTCAAATGCATATTTAAATTAGGGATGGGCTGACTTTTAAAGGGTTCTGATTGTCACCCTTCCGCCCGGATGTCTATCTGAACCTCAGGGGCCCGCATGGCATCATGGCCAGGATGTCCTACTCTCCCCAGGCCCTGGCTCCCTCAAACCTGCTGTGTCATTTTGACTCAGCAGGCCACTCCACCTTCTCTTACCAGGTCTCTTCTAGGGAGTGGAGGGGTGGCACCTTCTCCCTCCTTCATAGTATTCCTTCAGAGGAGAGCCTCAGCCCTACCTCTGATGCAGCAGGAGCTAAAGGATCAGCCGCTGGGTTTGTCTTAACCGCCACAGCACTGGATTCTTGAGTGCCCGGGGGGGGGGGGCGGGCAAAATCTCCATGAGGTTGGCGGGATCTGATGTACATTGACTGGTCTCTTATATTTTACGGTGACGGGATAATCATCGCCCTCCAGAGAGGCTCCCATTGCACCAAAGCACCTACTCAGACTCCTAGAAACGAGACGCCAATAGTGGAAAAGGAGGAGTCATCATCTATTCTCCTGCTCCACCCACAAGAAGATCCCACACTGACCAGGAGGGGTAATAAACTGCCCAACCACTCCTTCTCCCTCCAGGAAACCTACCACTGCGGAGGATGGAGGGAGACCCTTCACTGAGCTTTCAGGAAAGGTTCTGTTCAGGGCTTATTTCTGAGGCTGGGCAAAGCTGCAGGGTGGATACGTCCATCCTCTCCCATCTATCATTCAAATCTTATTGTAAGGTTTGAGGTAGTTTGTACATGTAAATTTCAAGCTTGCAGCACCTGCATGTTCTCAGGAAGAAAATGATTCGAGAGCCTCTCGCATATTTCATTCGCTCTGTATTTTACAAACTATGACTTAAAAAAAAGGGGGGGGGGCGGCAGGTCCGATTCAGCCGAATCACGGTGAATTTCTTTCTTCCTAAACAATACTGTAAGGGCCTGATCCGAAGCCCACTGCAGTCTTTGTTGACTGCCAATGGGTTTTGGAACAGAGCCTAAGGCTGGGATTTCCAAAGGAATTAGGTATCCGGGACAATATTTTCAAAAGTCACTCACCTTGACACTGGAAAGGGCCAGATTTTAAGATAGGGCTGAGCTCCTGCCTTCTGAAAACTGGGACTCCTTTAAGATGTCCCAGCTTGGACACCCAGTAATTGCAGCATCTAAAAAATTGCAAGTCGCTTCTGACCATTTTGGCCCTCAATTCCCTAACAAAACCCCAGCTGAAATTAACAGTAGCACTGCTGATATGTTCACAGGCCAACTGATTTGTTCATTCCTTCCAGACCGGTCTCGAGAAGAGAGTGAATTAGAGTTTCAAAAACATTATCTGTGCCCTCTCAGGAGCATACGTGTTTCACAGGATCGCACCGATTTCATTCAAAAAGAAAAAAAAAAAAAAAAGAAAAAAAAAAAAACCTCTCGGTTACTATATGCTTTAAAAAAAAAAGAAAGTTCCAAAAAAATAAAAAAAGCCTATGAGGTGTGTACCATTTCAAGGGAACAGTAAAGCAGATCCTATAATTTAAAAAAAAATTAATTTAAAAAAGTCTTCAACTGTCTCATACCAAGTCTGCGTTTCTGATATTTTTTTCCCCCAGAATCTAAAAATAATCAAAATATTTGGAGCTAAACGTTAAAAAAAAGACTTTTCTGGTACTAGATTACTAATGTTTACTGTGTTTTTTTTTCTTGCTAAAAAACCAAAATCTAATGCCCAGGAAACATACAATGTAGCTTAAAGGCAGTTTCTTTTTAATATTTACACTGATTTTTAGTCTATTTTAACTCCTTAAAAACCTTCCAAGTATGTCAATTTGGTTAGGTTGCAATGATCACTGCCAGCAAAGGAGTGTATCCTCTGCCATAGCTACTGAACCATAGCCATGTGTTTTTAATTGCCAAGAAAGCGTTCAGAGCTCAGAAGAGAGAAATACTGTGCACGGTGGTTTAGTCATTTTTGCCCCTTGCTGAACGGCGTGACAAGATTATGATAGCACTAGGTAGGTGAACCCAAAACTAGAGTGTTGTTTTAGTTCCTCCTAATAATAATACTTTGCACTCTATATGACACTGAGGATTGCAAAGTGCTTGAAAAAGAGTAATTTGTTAATCCTCACAACAGCCCTGTGAGGTAGGTATCATTATACCCATTCCACAGATGGGTAAACTGAGGCACAGAGAAGTGGATTTTTTTTTATTATTATTTTTTTTGCCCCTAGGCCACAAAGCAAGTCAGTGACAGTGCTGGGCACAGAACCCTGTCTTCTAGCCACTAGACTGCCCTGCTTCCCTAATTTAAATTCTACACCTTGGAGCTACCTAATGCATTAGAGCCTCCCCCGTCCTCCAGAATGAACCCAGATTCTGTCCCACTTTTTATTCCCCTCAAGTTTAAAACCCAGGGAACATTTTCAAACCCTTTGAAAAGGATCTACAGAAACCAAACCAACCAAATTCACACTTAGTCGAGGAAATGTGCATGCGTGAGAAACTCTGCTGCTTCTGCTATCATAAAAATGAGGTGCCGGCTCAGAAGAGAGGAGATACTTCTCTGCTCCTCACCCTGTCCAAAGCCAGCCCTGGCTCTACAGAGGAAGATGCTCCTGGTAATACTTCCCTTCTGATTTCAAACCTAAAGATCCTGCCACTTAACAAGGGTTTGCCTCCAGGGCTTCTGGTGCCTGTTGAACTTTAATAGGCCTGTTGAGGGATTGTTCATGTTTCTTTTTAATTCTTGGTGGACTAGAAATGTATTTGCATCATCAGATCCCTTTTACTTGTTATTCACTTAGGCCTGGGTCAAAGCTCAGTCAAGTCTCCTTCCGTTGACTTCATTGGGCTTTGCAGCTGGTCCATACAAAGGGCTCCTTGCATAACGCTGTAGTCTAGGCTGGTGCCAGAGAAATACAGTAGGTGCCAGGCCTGTTGCTTACTGGGAATAACTTCACTGATACTCAAAGCAACTCGGCTATGCAGAGTTCTGCACTGGGAGACCTAGCTCTCTCTGACTCCTTAAACAGGTGCCTAAGTCCCATCAAAGTCAACAGGACTTAAGCCTGTGTAAGTGCTTTCCTGAATCAGGGCCTCAGGGAGGAGATAAGTGATTTGTGTAAGTCCACAGAGTAGAAACAGAATTCAGACTCAGGATATCCTAGCTCCCTGGCCTGTCCAGAAACTACTAGGCAATGCTGCCTTCCTTAATGGAAATGGTTATTTCTAAAGCATTGATCCCAGCAGCCTTTTAGCTCCAGAGTAATCACAACCGATCTTAAAAGAAACGAGGGGTGACAAAGACACCCCCTTGAACACATAGAAACAGTATTAAAATGGTGCAATGCTTCTAAACATTTTACGGGGTTAGGCCTCTATTATGGAAAACACCAGAGGTTTCCACTGAATAATCAAACTCTGGGTAAGTGGCAGGACCCCCTCAATAGAACACTGCAACAATCAGATTTACAGTACTGTGGGTTTGTTTGTTTTTTCTCTCGATGATACAGTTTGAACCAGTTATCAAAAATGCTTGCTGTTGGAAAATACAATTCACCGATGTCTGAATAAACTGTTCTGTGAAAGTCTGTAAAAAGTAGAGAGCCAGAGATTTAAAGAAGTAGGAAACCGTTTTTCATAGGACAAGATGACAAATGCCGTTAAAAGAAAAAGAATCAAATCAACTTGAAATCTATTCCACGTCTTTCCTACCACGTGTCTTGTAACTTTCTGTCCTCAGAGGAGACAGGTGCAAGGAGTCAGAAATGAAGGCTTTGACTACCCCAACCTTCCAGTGGTAAAAAGCAGAATTAGCATCCTGCTTTCTCCTCACTCGCGCTTTGGAACGTGTCACCCACTCAAGGGGGATTTTTAACTCTCGCTTCGTTTGTTTGACATTCCCTGTCTCTACTGAAAAAGGGTCATTACTTCTTTAAAGCTGCATCCATTTAGGGGCTTGATCCAGCGTTCTTCACGCACCACTGAGTTTTGGGGGCACGGGACGCAGGGTCAGCCTCTTTAGAATTGATTTTACCACCACGGATCTTTTAACATGACATTCTAAAAAAAGGGTTAATTCCTGCAGGTACAATAAAAAAGTAGCAAGATGTGATTAAAAATGTGAACCTTTCTAATAGCGATAGCTGGGTTCACATCTCTCTCTCTCTATTTTTTTTCCTTGCTGTCTGCATGTATAAAATTTCAGCTCCCATTTCTCTCTCTCTCTCTTTTTAATTATTTGTTTATCCTCGGTAAAACTGAGGCAATCTCTGTAAAATACTTAAAGCATCATAGTGGAGAAGATGGTCTGACGCTGCCTATTTAGATACAAGAGGTCGATCCATTTGGGTTGGTTAGTGAATTATTTGGACTACTTGGAATTACCACAGCGGGCCAATTCGTGAAACATACCAGTCAGCCCCTCCACATGCCATATTTCATTGCTGATTGATATGGCTAATAATTATTGCTTGATAGCAAATCCATTCTACTCTTGACTTTTTGTGAAATGTTTCTAATCTAAGGCTCTTTAACAGTTTGGGTACCTGATGGAGTTGGGTTAAGCATGGACTTTATTCCAATGGCTAGTTTAAAAAAAAAAAAATCCAATCAAAAAGTTGGTGGGTTCTAACCCTCAAAATCCTAGATGAATTTCTACAGCCAATCACTCTTGCATCACAGTGAAATTAACCACCCCGCTTTAAGAGGCCAAAAATCAACTGCTGCCATCTTTTCCACTATATCTGAAATTTCTGTCGTTCTCAATAGAGAGCTCATAACACTTGGTTACCTGCACATAACTCCTGGCTCATAAGAAATTATGAAACGTAACTTCTCTTTTCATTAAAAAAATAAAATATTCAAGACTATCAGCTTTTATATAAAATATCAGCAAGCCCCAAAAACAAAACAAAAAACAATGGCTGAGGTAACTTCATACCTTGAGGTAGCTTTTTTTTTTCCTTTTCTTTTCTTACTTTTTTTTTTCCTTGTTGCTAAAACACACAGCAATACCTGACTTTCCCCACATCGTCTTGTTGTTGCAATGTTTAAAGGACAGTAACTGCTTGTCTGTTCCCTTTATCAAAACCAGCAAGCATTCCTGCAGCTGCGTAATCCAAATTCAAAGATGGTCATAACTCAGGCTACGTCTACACTATGCGATGGCAGCTTATGTAGCCAGACCTGGGCTAGCATCGATCTAGCTAGCATGATGAAAAATAGCAATGAAGATACGGGGCTGTGGACTTCAGTGTGGTCCCCCTCGGTATGTACTTGCATTGCTGGCCCGTGCCACTGAATCTTCACCGCTATTTTTAGCGGTGCTAGCTAGCGTGGGCATGCCAAGCCATGCTGCAATCACACCTCTGATTGCAGCGTAGCTATACCCTAAGCAAGATGTACAAAGGAATGCACCGGCAGAACAAAAGGTCTGGTCTCCCCTACAAAAACAAATCAATGCAAGGGTGGTTCCCGGCTCGCTTCGCAGAGCCTAGATAGAGCGTCAAATTCCAATAGCCCTGCACTTTGTGAAGACTCTTACGTCAGGGCAGAATGAGCGTAAAATGCCACCAGATCAGAGCGGCCGCATTGATGCGATTGCACAAGGGCGTAAGGCAACGGAATACCAGGCCCGCTGACTCCCGGAGAATTAACCCTGCTTTTACACCGGTGTTACGGCGCGCAGAGCTGTAAACCTTGAGTTAAACGACAGACTTCAATGGAGCGTCTCTGGATTTACCCTGGAGTCACAGAGAGCAGGAGCTGACCCCCTATAAATCCTCCTGCTTCTCCTGAAGTCACTTCCACCTGACTTCAGGAACTGCTTTCAGCTCAGAAGGCAGCTTGCGGGATCCATGCCTAGGGAAGACGAGACCTTGCCCTGCGTCTAAGATGCCATCACAGCAGTTACTGTCCCTTCCAAATACTCATATAAAAATCATTAAAATATATTTAAAATATAAAAATCCACATAAGAGTGACTGGATTCAGTAACCATATTACATTCTTTTGACATATATATTTGGTTTTGTCTCATGAAAAGAAGGTATTTTTTACTGCAGAAAAGTTTTGCTTGCAGGTTTACATTTTTTTTTTTTTTAATGTGCCAAATTTCAGGAATTCCCCCACCACCTAGAGAGAATAAAGGGAAAAGTAAAAGACAAATAACCCCAGGAGAGTGTATTTGAATTGGGATCCTGTTCCTAGTTAGCTTATAAACCTTCCCTGGGTGTTTTCAAAGATTCTATCCTTTTCGGTTTAGGTTGCAATTTTCAGAGGCCAGTGGGAAGTGGGTGCTCAAATCCCATTGGATGCCTGCTGTCTGCAGTGAGGTGAGCAGGTGCCTGATGATGATAATAATAATAATAATACCTAGATTTTATCATCAGTAGATATCAAAGCATTTACAAAAGGAGGTAAGCATCATTATCTCCATTTGTAGATGGGGAAACTGAGGCATAAACACTTCCCCAAGGTTACCCACCAGGCTACTTGCAGAGTGGGAAATAGAACAAGAGTTCTCACCCTTTTTCTTTCTGAGGCCCCTTCAACATGCTATAAAAACTCCACGGCCCACCTGTGCCACAACAAATGTTTTTCTGCATATGAAATCCAGGGCCGGTGTTAGGGGGTAGCAAGCCGGGCAGTTGCCCGGGGCCCCACGCAGCTAAGTTGCTCAGGCTTCGGCTTCAGCCCCACGTGGTGGGACTTCGGCTTTCTGCCCTCGGCCCCAGCAAGTCTAACGCTGGCCCTGCTGGGTAGACACCCTGAAACCTGCTCGCTGCCCCCCAGAGGGCCCCAGATCCCTGGTTGAGAACTGCTGGAATAGAATACAAGTGTCCTGTCTTAGTGCAGTGCTCTATCCACTAGACAGCACTGCCTCCCAGGCATGAGCCTGTCAATTCATTTCTATAGGAGCTTGCAGTTTTTGGCCTACTCTTGAGGTGTGAAGCCCTGCCTTCACAGAATCACAGGTTGGAAGGGACCTCAGGAGGTCATCTAGTCCAACCCACTGCTCAAAGCAGGACCAATCCCCAGACAGATTTTTGCCCCAGATCCCTAAATGGCCCCTTCAAGGATTGAACTCACAACCCTGAGTTTAGCAGGCCAATGCTCAAACCACTGAGCTATCTTCAGTTGGACACCCGACGCTCTCAGGGTTGATTAAAAATCCTGGCCTTAGTTTTTTTTTAAATAAGATGATTATTAAATAGAGGAAGATTTAATCATGTTTCCTACAAAGCAATTTTTTTGGGTGGGGGGTGTCATTGTTTAAAAGAGGGAGGGACCAAAACTTTTTTCCTCGGGTGATTTCATTCTTGTGAATAGCGTCACTTGGTAGGATGGGGCATCGTGCCTGGTTCTTTCCAGTGCTGATCACCCAGAAGGGTTACTGTTTAGGTTTGCCTGTGCTAGGGTTAGCCTTGGCATTTCTCCCCAATTCTGCAATCATTTCATAGGCTTAGTTTAAAAAAAAAAAGTCATCCTGGAAAATATAGTTGCTCTCCTGTCTTATAAGGCTTTGCAAAGTCATTGCACTGAGTTTGGTACACAATGGAAGAGAGGTCTCTCTCCTCCATCACGTTCTCGGATGTTCTAAGACTGATCAGTGCAGGGTTCCGGTGTTATCCGAGTCCATTTTGTTCTAAAACCTTCACCCACGCTAGATTTTACTGCGAATGGGAGTAGGAACCATCCTATCTGTTGGAATTTCTAAAATCAGCACTAAGAAAAGTTACTTTGCTCTAAGAATTTTTTTCTGTTTGTTTTTAATCAGTCTCATATCTATGTGTAACATGGTGGCCAGAAAGCAGCACCCTGGAACTCTTCTACGAAGGGTATGATGGCACCACAAGTTTGGGGTGGACTGGCCCACAAAAGTCAACTTAAATGAGCATCTATGTTGCATCTGCTGCAGTGCAGGGGGTAGGAGGGGACGGACTGTTTCCAATGTTAATTGCTACGCACTAGATTCACTGCAGCGCTGCGGCAAGGGATGGTGGAACCTCCATTGCTAGGCGCTGGCCAATCACAGCAGCAAGAGGGTGTTGGGGGTGACACACACCGCAGCACATGTTGCTTCATTTAAGCAGCCTTTGCAACATATAGATTGTTTATCTAATTGATCCGGGGGTTTTTTTGTTTTGTTTTTTTTAAATGTAGGCATCTACCTTGGAAGCCAATCAAACTGCCTTTTAATCTCAATCTGGTCATGAAAAGTTATCATCTGTCTACGGTAACTGATTCCCAGCCACTCTTAAGCCCGGCATCGACTCATTCATTTTCCAATTTTTGTCACAGTCGTTGCGTGCTAGCTGCTCTTATTTCCTCCGCGCTTGCGTCTGGCCGCTCTGTCCCTTCTGATGTTGCTGTTTCACCTGGGCCAGGATATCGCGTATCTTGCGCTGCGCCATCTGGGGGGAAGAGGAGCCGCGGCGGAGTTAGCAATAGGCAGTGCGGTCTCGTGCTCAGAGGGCGGGACTGGGCGTTAGAAGATCTTGCCTCGGTGCACGTCATCGCTCTCCACCCCACCTTTTGTCTCTTTAGACTAGTGGTTCTCAGACGGTGAGTCGGGACCCCAAAGTGGGCGGCGACCCTGTTTTAATGGGGTCACCAGGGCTGACGTTGCTGGGGTCCAGGGCTGAAGCCTGAGCCCAAGACTCACCACCCGTGACCAAAGCCCGAGGGCTTCAGCCCTGGGTCTCAGGGCTCAGGTTACAGGCCCCCCGCCTGGGACGAAACTCTTGGGCTTTGCCCTCCCCTCGTCCAGGGCAGCGGGGCTCAGGCTTCAGTCCCCCCGCCTGGGGTCATGTTGTAATTTTGTTGTCAGAAGGGGGTCCTGGTACAATGAAGTCTGAGAACCCCTGATTTGCACTGTAAGCTCTGGGGCAGAGCAGGGACTGTCTCTCACTCTACGTCTGTACAGCCCCTAGCACAATGGGGCGCTGATCCTGGCTGCTACAGCTGTACGGCAGGAGAGAGAGAGCGAATGGTGGTTGCATTTTGGAACATCATATACTTTAGTCCAGTGGTCTCCAACCTTTTTACGCCCATGATCACTTTTTGAATTTAAGGGTAACCCAGGATCTACCCCACCCCTTCCCTGAGGCCCCGCCCCTTTCCCAAAGTCCCGCCCCACTCACTCCATTCCCCCTCCCCCATCGCTCGCTCTCCCCACCCTCCGCTCACTTTCACTGGGTTGGGGCAGGGGTTCAGGAGGGGGTGCGGGCTCTGGGCTAGGTCTTTAGGGCTGAGACCATGTCCAGCCCGTTGGTTGCACAGTGCCCGACACAAGGGGGCCTCTCCTATTACAATATTAAATAAACAAGACTAGTAAAAATTCTCACCCTTTCATTGGCGCCTTCCATCGGAGGATCTCCAAAACACTTTACAACCTTTACTGAGCTAAGCCTCAAAAAACTCCGCAGCTAGGTTCCATTATCTCTGTTTTACACATGGGGAACCTGAGGCAAAGGGGGGGGGGAAATGACCTGCCCATGGTCACACAAGGAGTTAGTGGCAGAGAAAGAACGAGAACTCGGGGGTCCTGCGAAGGTGATAACTGATGTCAATTCATTTCTTTAGGAACTTGTCTCTTGAGGCTCAGGGGTTCCCTCTGCTGGTGGTAGGTTACTTCAATTGTAGGACCACAGACTACCCTGTCCTCTCCCCTCAGTGATGGGGCATGCACAGATACAAACACACAACTGCAGGCAGCTAGCAGGACTTTACAAGTTCCCATCTGCCTTCTGTGTTCTCTCCTCTTCCCCTTCTCCCTCCCAGCACAAGCCCTGCTCAGGGCGAGATTCCGTTCTCCATACCTGGCTGGCATAGAAGTGTCCAATGATTTTTACAATGACTTGCTCGTTCTCATCAGGCGTCTGGTCCCGCGGCACCACCACCTCTGCTGCCGTCAGGTTCTGCAGTTCATTGACCTACAGGAAAGCGTCAGAGCCCACTCGGTTACTGCACCATTTCAGGAAGAAGAATTTAAAAAAAAAAAAAAAAACCTAGCCCCCCAGATTTTGCATTTCTCCAGTTAGGCAAAAAAAAAATAAATAATAATAATAATAATAATAATAATAAAAATCACTCCCACCCACCACCTGGAGCCGCCCTCCTCACAGCGGGACGGTAACTAGGACTAGCTTGTGAAAGCAAGGATGCTCACAGACCAGCTCCACCCACGGCCTCCTCTCTGCCTTGATACTTGTCCAGGAGAGCAGCAATAGCCCCGCCTCCTCTATGGCCCCGCCCTTGCTCCACCCTCTCCTGTGGGTTACCAGCTGTTTCTTCCTTGCTCCTAACCTGTCTCTTCTGCCTTCCACACTGGTATGTGGGCCAAGGGAGGAGCTGGCATTGGGAGAACAATCCCCTGCCAGGTCAGCAGAGGAGCTGGGAAACAGAAGCACCAGCAAAAACCCCCTCCAAGCAATAGTCTTGTCCCAGGTCTGCCTCACAGCATCCCCTCCTCTCCTCCCTCAGTGACGGCTTCCTAGCCATGACAGCCAATCCTCAAAAGCTTCCACGCCTGGGGATGAACCAGCCTCCTAACCCTGTCTCCCTGCAGCCCTGATTCCCTTTCTCCTTGCTTTCACTTACAGTTTTGCCTCCTTTGCCAATAACTCTCCCTGCGGCTGAGGCAGGGACCCTAATGTGCGTCTCCAGCTTCACTTCTTCTTTAGGCCCAAAAAAGTTTTCCTCCTTGAGTTTGCCATAAATTCGTCCTTGTGCCTGTGGGAGGGGGTGGGGAAAGTGGTTAAACTCCGCCTGTGATCTCTGGATCCGAGTTAGTACTTCTCCTGGGGCTTTTTCTCCCTCTGGCCTCAGGGCACAAAGTTATTGATGGGGCCACACCAACCTGGGCTCCGGTCTCCTTGCACTATTGCTAGAACAGCAACTGGGAGATAAGCCGTGTTGATACAGTCACGCAGCTCTCTAAGGCTGGGGGTTCTCAACTGGGTGGGCAAATAGGTGTCAGGGGTCTTGAATGGGAGGGGGATCCCACTAAATAAAATGGGATCCCAGTAAGGAAATGGCTGAGAACCACTGCTTTAAGGGACATGAAACAAAAAACCAAAACAAACAAAATACTAAGCTGCCCAGATACCATGGTGATGGGTGCCCATGTAAGAGAGGGAGCAACGCTACACTCAGGAATGCCAGTCCCAGGATGCATGCCCACCCAGATTTCCTACCCGTTTCTACATAGAGTCATAGAAGTGTAGGGCTGGAAGGGACCTTGAGCGGTCATGTAGTCCAGCCCGCTGAGCTGAGGCAGGACCAAGTGAACCTAAACCGTCCCTGACTGGTGTCTGTCCAACCTATTCTTAGAACCCTCCAGTGATGGGGGTTCCACAGCCGCCCTAGGTTACCTCTTCCAGTGCTTAATCACCCTTATCATTAGAAAGTTCTTCTTAATATCTAACCGAAATCTCCCTGGCTTCAGATTAAGCCTATTACTTCTTGTCTTACCTTCAGTGGACACGGAGAACAAATGATCACAGTCATTTGTAACCTATTTGAAGACTATCATCAGTCCCCCCACCCCTTCTTTTCTCAAGACTAAACATGCCCCATTGTGTTAACCTTTCCTCATAGGTCAGGTTTGTTAAAGCTTTTATCATTTTGGTTGCTGTCTTCTGGATCTCCTTTGTAAGAAAGAGACCCCAGTGAAGAAACATCGGCTCACAGTGGCTTTGTTCAGTATGGACCAAAGCAAACTAAGAAACCAGGAGCTAGCTCTCCCCATTCTACCTTTGAAAAATCAACCCCCAATGCTGATTAATCCTTAATTAACCATCAGAATGGGAGCCTATTGATTTCATCCTTATTCAGATCGATAGAACTTTTTCCAGAAGGGGGAAAGGCCCTGGGAGGCGAAGTGACTTGCCCAAGGTCATACAGCAAGTTAGTGGCGGGGCCGAGAATCGAACCCAGGTCCGCTAACTACCATGCCTGTGCTCTGGCCACTGGATCATGCTGCCTCATAGAAAAGATACTTTATATGTACGCTCAAAAAATAAATATATCTAGCGCTGGGTGGATCCATCGCATCTCTATCATTGGGCTTCGGCCTTGTCTGTGCTGGGATTTTAGGCTCTAGTCTAGGTAATCCGTATTATGGGCCACCCCTAGTGTGCGGTTTGCACAGGTGTTTCAAGATGGGAGAGCTGCACTGGTGAATATCACATGGGCACTAGGCAGCTACCCCCTGGGCTAAAATTCTCATGCAGACAAGGCCGGTGGGGATCATAGTAATGGAGGAAGGAACCTTGAACTGAGCTTCTGGCGGTCCAGTGATTATAACCATGCGCACTTTGGAATCCGGTGTCTCGGGTGGCGCGATCTGAAAGGGAGAAGGGAGAGAATTTTAACACAGGAGAGGGAAGCATCAGGGGGCAGGTGGTTTCCTCCCCGCCCCATGCCCGGCTTGCTGTTATTATTCTATCCTTTCCACTGCGTTAAACAAACTGGAACGGGGGAGATCCCAGCCTTGAGAGCACCAAGCACGCTGGGCGAGCCATGCTAGCGAATTCCCGCCTGGATATAAAATCACGGTAGGATTGGGGAGGGAAGGGCGGGGTTCTAAACTGAATCGCCTCCTGAGTTATCCAGCTCCAGGGGCATAAGGGAGACAGGCAGAGAGCTGTCGTTGAAAGTCTAATTGGGAAAAAAAATCGCTGGGAATTATACTTAAGCCAGGCAGGACTGGGTCACTAATTGGCTACTAAGCCTTTGTTCCCCTTCTATAGGCTGCCACACAATAGAGACTGCAAACCATTGTCATCTGGTGGCTCTCCAGAGACCTAAGTGCAATGAGTTTGCCAGATCTCAGCCCAGCTCCTAGCCGACAAAGTGTCCACATCACAGAAATCACCACCATTGTTGACATGAATCGGCTCCATTCATGTCGGCGGGACTCAGCCGAGGCCAAGGACCGGATGGGTGGTGGGGACTGAAAACGAAGGCACCGTGTGCACTGGGGGAAGCATGTAGTGGCGCTGCATCTGTTCTGGGGAGAAACCTTCAGAGCTGCCGGCCCAGCTCTTTTCCCCGCCAGCACTAAAAGTACGGCCAGTTGTTTGCTCAGAGCTAACCCGTCGGAAGGGCTAATCGGGATCACCCGACCACTGGCCACCTGCCTTGCAGCCGGTTGCGTTTTACTCACTAAAGGGAAATACCGTATGTGACTGCAGCAAAGCCGCCTTGGGAGGGCTACCTTGATGGAGGCGCTCGCAAATCTGGAGAGCTGTTTAATGTGCTGTCCTTTCTTGCCGATGATCGCGCCGACTGCCTGCGCGGGGATGAAGACGTGCACCGTCTCTTGCTCTGGGGGCTGCCAGCACAAGGCTCCGTATTACCGTTAAGGGTCAAATTAAATCGGACGGATCCAAACAAAGCAAACTCCTAACGTAGCGGGCACAAAGCCGGTGGGGCTGCTAGATGGGCAGTGTGTCCCCTGGGGGACAGCAGGGAGCAAGCCCGGGACCTTCAACAGCGAGGGTCTACTCCTGCAAGGTGCAGGGCTGACAGCGTACAGCACCTTCCGGGAGGAGAACGAACCACGAATTGGTAGCGGGCTCGTGTCTGTGCCGGTCGCCACTAGAGGGAGACACAATCACAGCCCGTAATTTGCACTTCGGAAGAGCTGGATCCATACGGTCATTTCCCTGATGGCAGGGAGACCAGGGCACCAGGGGCTGCTGGTCCTTCATGTTCTCTTCGTTGGGGGGGGGGGGGGTCTGCATTTCATCACACGTCCCAGCTGTGCCGCAGCCAACTCGAGCTGTGTTACAAGGAAAGCCCAGAGGCCAAACACACCTGTTTCGTCCCTTTTCGAAGGAGATCTCCAGACCGGGCACCTGAGCTACAAGGGAGTCTATCTGGAGTTCAACCCACGTCTCAGATAGGAGCCCTCCAAATTCTGGGCCTGTAAAACCAGGCAACCCAAGCCCGTCTCTGTGTACAATAAAACCAGGCCAGGATCACAGACACAGGGCTTGGGGAATTATCATCTGAGCAGCTAGCCAGAGCACGTCCAGTCCCGTTCCCCCCCTCCCCAGCCCCCAGGACTGCCACGTTCCTAGGTGCCTAGGAGACACTCTCCCTAAACAAGCGGGATTGAGTCAAGAACCATGGCATCTGCCTACCATGAAGGAGTTATATGGCGCTGCCCCGGAGATGCTGCTTGGAGGCGGCGGCACCGCGTTAGAAGACGCCGGGAAGAGTCCGACAGCAGCCAGGTTAAGGCCGGGGATCAGATGAGACTGTAGCTGAGAGAATGAGAGACAGGGATAAGACGGGGAGGGAAACAGAGGCACGTTGTTATTGGGATCACAGCAGCAACTACGGTGGCCCCCAACTGAGATCAGAGCCCCATCCATGTTACTCTGTGCCCTGTGGGGGGGGAAGGGGAGGAGGGCGGGCATGGGCATCAGGGATGAACCCGGGAGTGGAACAAGCTGCCAGGGGCGGCTGGGAGACGGTTTGCCGTCCACTGGAAGAGAGGGTGGTGACACGCCAGGCTCACCCATGCTGCCGATGCAAGTACTGCTCGGTGCACACACCCGGTTTTCTCCCCGGTGGCAGGCGGCTCCTCGGCTAGGGGAGAGAGGCACCGAGCCTTGGTGTCCCAAGTGGGGGGGAAGGGGGAAATGACCCTCTTTGATACTCACGCTCATGGCAGCCACGTCGTTTTCGTACGCTTCCCTCACTTTCTTCATGATCTCCTGTTCGGCTTTGCAGCAGTTCTCGATGGAGCCCTTCACCGTGATCGTCCTTTCAGGGTTGTAGAGAGTCAGATCCTGCAAACTGGAAGTGGGGGAGCCATCAGAGAGAGAGAGAAAGTGTGCCGCCGGCAGCCCCGCACCCTGATTCATTGTCGCCACGGCACAGCAACACCCGCACGGATCTGATGCACCATCCAGGGCTTTGTGACTCTCCTTATGCATTGACCCAGGGCCTCCAAAGCTAAGAGCGGGAGCTGCTACTGCTTGCGCTTAAAAGCCACAGCTCCCTAGATGGGGCTGCAACAGACTCACATCCTCTGTGAATGGGTACCGCTGCGTCACACACACACACACACACACACACACACACACACACCCTCTACAGTTGCGTGCGCAGAGAAATGAACCCTTTGGGACTCAGATCTTCAAGAGAAGTTAAGGGAGCCTGAATCAAACAGGTGTCCCACTCGACGTGTGCTCCCCCACTCCTGTTCTTTCCCCCCCACCCCCCAAATTCTGCTGCTTCCGCCCGTGTGTAGGTATCAGGAGCGCCGCCAGCTTTTCTGCTGCCCTACGCGGTGGAAGGTCCCGCCCCGAAATGTCGCCCCCCACAGAGGCGGCAGGACCTTCCGCCGCCTAGGGCCGCGGTCGCCGTCCCCAAAATTGTAGTGTCCTAGGCGACTGCCTAGGTCGCCTAATGGGTTGCGCCGGCCCTGGTAGGTATTGCCACACGGTTTGTTTATAGCGCTCCCATGTGAATGCAGCAACTCTACTTACGGGGTCAGTCAGCTTCACAACCCCCTTCTCCCACAGGAGGGGAGAGATCTCTCCCCCCGGACATGGCCCTTACTCTGGTACTGCTAGCCCCCACTTCCTTCCCCCCCCCCCCCCGTTCCTTCCTGGTTTCCTCTTCTACCCCACCAGGCCAGGTCTACACTTAAAAGTTAGGTTGACCCAGCTACATCCTCAGGGGTGTGAAAAAGCCACCTCCTGAGCAACACAGTTAAGCCAACCTAATCCCCGGCATAGGCAGCACTAGGTGGCCGGAAGAATTCATCCATTGACATAGCCACCGCCTCCCGGGGACGCGGATTCACTACAGCGACGGGACGGGTTCTCCCATCGCTGCAGAAAGGGTCTACAGTGCAGCACTGCTACTGTAGTAGTGTAAGTGTAGACACAGCCCCAGTGAATCAGGTAATTAGCTCTCCTCAGCCCAGGCGGATCTGGTAATTAGCCCCTCCTTTCCTCACTCAGGCCGTCTCCGAGGGAAACTAACTGGAGTTCCAGGGACCAGAGCGCTGGGTCACCTGCTGGTTCTTAGCCGTCTGTCACAGTTGGGTGACAAATTCTCTTCGGCTCCTTTAAACCTCCCCCCCAGCCTAAAAGCTCTGCTCGGGCACGTTTCGGGGGGGGGGAGAGAGAGACTTACGACGAGATGGTGATTTTCGTCTCCGTGTCCTGTTCCACCTTCTTCAGGTTCCGCCCCTCCTTGCCGATCAGCCGCCCCACAAAGTTATTATGGGCCAGGATCTTCAAGGGAACCTCGTCAGCTCTTGAGAAAGAGGAAAGGGAATGAAAACCCCCCAATGGCAGAGGTGGGGAGTGGGTGTGGCCGAGTGGGGACTTGCTAGGCCCATAGGGTAAGATCCTTTGGGGACCAGCTGAGTAAATTGGAGCAGCCCATTGGCTGCATCGCCAGCACAGAATCAGGGAATCACAATCAGGCCCCTGATGGCCCCCATGCTTCCAAGGTGCCAAACGGACCTCACATGAGGGAGAGTCAAGACCTCCCATTCGGTTTCCTGTCGGGGCTAGTTTTCTAACGTACTGAAACTGACATCTAAAGTGTGGGGGGTATCAGGCTGGGAACTGCCTTTCCCCCAGCATCCCGTTGCCTGAAGGGGCAGACCTGGGTAGTTTTGCAGGATCTCAGGTGGGTGGCCAAAAAGCATGGGGGCCGCAGTGCCTGTGGACAAGTCCAGCCCTCAGCTGTTACCCTCTTTCCTGGACAGGGCCTCTTCAGAAGTGTTTCAAGCCCCATGAGCTAAATCCATTGGCCCCTGCAACATCCTCTAGGGAAACCCCCCCACTTCCAAAGGTGCTACTAAGACATCACAGTGCAGTGAGTCCACAAAGGGAGAGCAGAGGGGGGATGAGACCTCCTGTGTACAGCCGGGAAGCTGAAAGCCTTACGTCTTGGTGTCTTTTGCCTCCTTCTGCATAATCTCCAAGATCATCTTGCAGGCCGCGGAGCAGCCCTCGGGGGTGGAATGGATGCTGATGGCTTTCTCCGCTGCTCCCGCGTTCTCCTTCCTGTGCACGTCGATTCTGCGTGGGCACAAAACACACCATAGTGAAACACACGCACATGGGGCATTCTGCTCCGTGACCTTCGAATGGCTTGAAGGCTGATCTTGCTCCAAATCTGAACCCTCTCTTGAGGGCAGCCCAGAAGTGGGTCAAGAACAGCAAAGTGCAGGGTTCGCTCAATAACACGCTGGCCTGGAACATGTGCTTGGAGCAGTACGGATCAGATGCTAGACTCTGAAGTCTTAGACTCCACGGCTGTCTTGGAGAAAGGGGTAATGGGAACCAACAGCTGGAAGTTAAAGCCAGGCAAATTCAACTTAGATATAAGGCACCGATTTTTAACCAGTGAGGGTGGACCAAACCACCAAGGGAAGAGGTTGCTTCTCCATCCCTGGATGTCTTCAGATCAAGCCCGGAGGTCTTTACGGACGACGTGCTTTAGTCAAACCCGCTCAATGCAGGAGTAACTTGGTGAAATTCTCTAGCCCGGGCTAGACAGGAGATCTGACTAGACGATCTAACGATCCCTTCTGGCTTTAAAAATCTATGGTTCTGAATGGGAGACCCAGTCTGTTTCAGAACACTGCAGGGAGCAGGGTGGGACCCCAGTTACAACCAGATGGCCTAGGAGAGGGGAAAGAAATGGGACGGTTCAGCCGCACAGCCCACATCTGTAGGTGGGTGGCAGTGGAGAAGAGCTGTTCGGCCTTTGTCTCCATTTGCTAAGGGATGGAGGAGACAGATGCAGCCTGGGTGGGGATAACAGAGGACTGGAGGCTCTGGGGTAATTCTTACAACTTAATAATACCAGTCCTTCTCCCCCCATGAAAAATCCAGCCCCTTACACCCACACGGCCAATGCTCTGAACTCCTCCCCACGACAGCATGCAAGCAGCCCTTTCAGACTAGGGGCAGGGGACGGATGGACAGGGAGGCAGGCGGGAGGAGAAGGCGGGACTCACTTGGACTGCGTCTGCTTGGTGATGTTGCGGATGGTGGCCCCCTCCTTGCCAATGATGGCCCCCACGTACTGCGTGGGCACCAGGAGTCGGAGTGGGATGTCCACCGGCTGCTGCTTTACGGGCGCTCCTGCAGCGACGGGCGAGCCCTGCCTGGGGGCCCCCCGTGTGCCGAAGCCGCCCCGCCGCCCATTCTCAGGCCCCTGCATGGACTGTTCGTCGGGGATGTAGGAGACTTTCAGTGCATGGTTTTCCAGCTGGTGCCCATTCAGTTTCATGATCGCCCTGGTGTAGAGAGAGAGGAAGAACATCCCAGGTTATGTCCCTTCTCGCCATTCATTCCCTGCTGCATCAGGTGTGACGTTCAGAGATCACCCAGTGCAAAAGGTGTTTGCAAAAACGTTGCTTTATTCCAGTGTCCGGTTCCAACTGGCTGGGCATAACAATATGACCTTCATAGCCCCCTGCCCAGACTCTCTGTCTGGGAAGTTCAGCCCTTAAAGTCACAGACCCCAACACCACAGAAGGCACCAGAACTCACGGAAGTCAGGCCATCGCTTGGCTTTGTAAGTGGATGAGGGGGGTCTTTAAGTTGATCATTCTGGCTTGAGGACTATATCAATCCAAGTTATGGAATGAGAACACAAAATGGCCAGATTCATTCCTGGTATAACCCCCCCTCCCATCCCCCACACACTGAAGCTGCCCCACGGATGAATTCTGGCCAATTTTTTAATTGATTTCTCTCTTGTGTTAAAAAGCTGGCTGTAGTTTCACAAAGCTACCAATAGATGGCACTACCCGCATAAGCAAGAACCATCCATGCTACAACCCCATCTAGCCAACTCTCCTTCAGTGTCCCACTTTACCCAGTTAACCTGACCCCCAGTTTATCCAAAAAGTCTTTGATACTCCAACCCCCGTGAAACGTAGGATGACCAGACTTCCAGATATTATCAGGACTGTCCTGACATTAGGGGTTTGTCTTATATAGGCAACTATACCCCCGAAAAAAGTGTCCCAATTTTTCGCACTTGCTATCTGCTCACCCTAGTGAAACGTCCCCTAGAAATGGCGCCGTACCAGATGCTATGGTTCCTTATACATGTTAAATGCCGTACAGTGGGAGATTTGCTGAGCTCAGACTGTTTGGATTATCAGAAAGAAGATAAGGAAGTGACCCAATTACAGGCTATAAGGACCTTTGTGGGGAGAAGATATCAGGTACTAAAGGGTGGAGAACGGCATAACAAGAACTAGCAATCTCGAAGTTAAAGCCAGGCAAATTCAACTTAGAAATAATGCACAGAATTTTTAACAGGGAGGGTGATTAAGCAATGGAACAAACTATCCAGGGAAGAGGTCGATTCTCCATCTTTTGAGGTCTTCGGATCACAACTGGATGCATTAATGGAAGATGAGCTTTAGCCAGACACAAGTTAGTAGGCTTTACCATAGGGGTAACCAGATGACATTCTATGCCCTGTGTTATATATAGGAGATCTGACAAGTTGATCTAAAGATCCCTTCTGGGCTTTACATCTATGAAATCCTCCTGTTTCAACTTAAATTTAAAATGGTCTGAATCAATCGCTCTCTTTTAGGGCTTCTGACAGAACCGATCTTTGGGGTACCTTCACAAAAGGGAAATTTAATCTGTGCAGCAGCAAGATCCCAATTCACGTCACATCAACAAGCCATTCAGAATCGGAATCATCCTTGTGCAAAATGATCAAGTTGCGTTTGGCTGTCGTTTCGCCAGGGACCGAGGTGTACAATTTAAAACTCATTCACACCATAGATTTTTCCCTCACTCTCGCAATCTTTGGCATATTTGTAAAGCCCCAGCTCCTGGAGTCCTGTGATTAGATAAGGAATCTCAGCTTTCTTTCAAATAAGTACGTTTCGAGCCCTTGTGATTGCACAGAAAAGCTTGAATACCTGACCTGAGTGCCCCTAAAGATTCAGAAACCAGGAGGCAAAGAAAAAGAACCTCAAATGTTTTAAAGAGGCTCATGATATTTAATCCAAACTCATAATTTTGGATGGGGGGAGGGGCTGCCACTTGATTTTTGAATGCTTGGGGTTGGCCAAGCCATTTTCTACAAAATCCTGGAGGGGCCGGGATGGGGAAGGCTTTCTGTTTGGACAAAAGCAACTCCCTCCTTCATCACCCTTAAAAGAGCACGGGGCATAGGGGCAGATTAATTTCACTTACTGTCTGGTCTGCTCCCGGTTTGAATAGGTGACGTTGACGACGGCCGTCTCGCTGTCTGTGTTCACTTCGAGCAAAACACACATGAATTAGTGGGAATGGTGCAGAAGGGCAATTGGTTTGAGGGCTGCTTTTTAAATAAAATGACTTACATTTAAAAATTAAGAACCCCCCAAATCCTTTTTTCAGTTAGGCCCAGATCATCTCCTAAGTCCCATTGACGTCAATGCCTAAATATGTGGGAGGATCTGGGCCATACTGCCAACCAGCTACGGCATTTGACTGCTCAGTTCAAACAGTAGTGGCCCACGATTTTAGTTCTAGCGATCTTGGGTTGAATCCCCGAACCTACCATAGAGGGCTTATCATACAAACTCCTTAATAGGGATTTGAACCCCCAGAGACGGCTGACGCTTGGGACAAGCTGGCCCAGGTGGGGGAGGGTGGGAAAGAGGGGAATGATATTTAACATGTATCCAGCCAATATACCAAGGTATAAAGCTAGAGGAGAGATTGGCATCTGTGGCCCATTCAATCCTTGACACCCCTGCTGGTTCTTGTTCTTTGATCATGCATCCTACACCCCGGGGACCTGGCCACTGGGAAGAGAGATGCCCAACCCGACTCTACAAAGGACATCGAAGAGCCGTCATTACTCCAAGGAGTTTTAGTCACTCACAGATTTGAACCAGAAGGGAAAGGGTTAGGGTTAGGGTTTCAAGCCCGGAGGTCTTTATGGAAGACGTGCATCAGTCAAACCCGCTCAATGCAGGAGTAACCTGGGTGAGTTACTCCCTACCCATTCCCCCTTTCCTCCCCACATGTCCTGTTACAGGTTGAGGATTTGCCAGGAACATGACAAGATTCCGAAAGCGACTGGGCGTGTATATGGGTAACAAGAATATCCACACTTATAACAAACATCTGGGAGGGAATATTAAACTTCCTGCTTTAGGGCTGTAGCCCTAAAGCTCTATTAGAGACCAGGCAGAGACCGAATATAGGGGGCAGATTATCCCACTTCTGCCTACAGTGGGGATCTTACCTCTTCCTCTGAAGCATCTGGCACTGGCCACGTTCAGACAAGAAACTAGACTAGATGGACCTTGGTTCTGATCCAGTCTGGCAAGTCCAGACTTTGGAGCCCCAAAAATCTTTCCTAGCGCGCCATCATAGGGAAAGTGAATGGGAGTTACACAGGAGTACAGAGGAGACAATGACAACCCATTGGTCAGACGCACGGAGTTAAATTTGCCCCCGGTCAGAGGACCAACCCAAGGCCTATGAACATGTGACCCTCTGCACAGGATTAAATTTCACCCTCTATGAAATGATTGAGCAAAGAAGCCTTTACTTCCCAACAGCTTTTAAACTGAATTCTACTGACTCCGGAAAAAGTTAGTGTCTAATAATCTAACCGAACACACACACACTAACACACTTTCTTACCTTGTTCACAATTTTCTACAGTACCATACTGAGCTAGCAAACCATCCAACACCTATAAAAGAAAGGGGAAACTACATTACATGGGTGCATATGACCAGACCTGGAAGATAAAACAAATCTTCAATCAAACCCAGTTTCTCGTGATCGGACAGCCTAGCTTTGGCAGTTCTAGAACATGTGTGGAGAAGGCATTGGACTGGGAGTCAGAAGACTTGGATTCTAGTCCTGGCTCAACCCCTGGCTTGCTGCATGACCCTGGGCAAGTCATTTCCCCTCTCTGTGTGTCAGTTTCCCCTCTCACCCTGTGACTGTCTAGATGGCAAGCAGGGACTGTTTGTACAGCCCCTAGCACAATGGTTGCCCAACTCAGTTAGGGCTTCTTGGTGCTAGGTAAGACAAAAAAGGGGTGGGTGGGTGTCCGTTAGTTCGTCCAGCTTGTAGTATGAAAGCCACCATTTCCAAACATGGGCAATGATTTTGGGCACCTCCATTTCTTGCTGCCCAATTTGAGACACTTTAAAGAGGCCAGATTTTCAGAGGGCGCTTTTCAGCACTTTCTGACAACCAGGCCCCTTTAAGGCATCCCAAGCTGGGTACCAATAATCACTTGTGGCTCTCGAAGCCCCATGGCTCAAGTCTAGAAGGGATGAGTCCACCACAGGTTTTATAGACCAGGGAAGTCAATTTGGAACTGCACCCTGACACCAACCGGGAGACAGTGAGAGTGTTGGCAGAGGTTGAAGCTTCTCATATGCATCAAAAGCAGCCAACACTTTGATTAGGAGAAACAGAACTCGGGGAGGTCACGGAGATGGAAGATGCAGCAGTCAAGGTGATCCAAGCACAATTTGGGTTCGTCTTCCGGAGATTTTTGTACCTTGAGTTAATTCATTACCAACTGGAGGAGCTTAATACATTTAAAAAGGTTCGTGTGGCTACTCCCATTTGTCTCAGGGTACAAATGTTTGTTCATCACCCTAGAGATCAATGAACGAGGGGTACAAAAGGCTAGTCAAGACAAGATCAAATAGAACCCTGCGCGGATACAAAATTTGTATCCGCATCGGATCCACAAACACATTCATCCACAGATTTGGATCTGCATCCATCCACAATCCACAGATATAAAGTGGATATCCGCAAATCTGCAGGGCTCTAAAGATCAAGCGTCGGTATTTAAATGGTTTGTACGTCATAAGCCAGGTCTGCAGTTGCTCAGGTGTTTCACTTACCTCCCATCGTAGCTGGGGTGGGATATTTCTTATCTGAATTTTGCGGCTCCTGAAATGAAAAGAAAATCAATTTCAAGCCCAGGTTGTTGTCTGAAATGAGGCCCTTTGCATTTCAAAGTATTTCCCTTCCGTACACTGAGTAATGCTAACACTTATATTTGCCCCAAAGCACTTTATGAGCATCAGTTAATCAAGCCCCACATTATCTTTGGCAAGGTAGACAAATATCATTTAGTGCCATTTTGCAGACAGAGAACCTGAGGGGCAGAGAGGTGAAAGTCACTCATGAAGAGCAGGTCTACACTGGAAACTTTTGCAGGAAAAGCTGTGTTGGTGAGGGGTAGGATTTCTTTATGACATTTCTGTACCAGAAAAAGCTCCAGGGTAGACTCAGTTATACTGACAAAGGGTACGTCTACACTTACTGGAGGGTCCGGCGGCAGGCAATCGATGTTCTGGGATCGATTTATCACGTCTGGTTTAGACGCGATAAATCGATCCCGGATCAATCCCGGAAGTGCTCGCCGTTGACGCCGGTACTCCTGCTCGGCGAGAGGAGTATGCGGCATCGACGGGGGAGCCTGCCTGCCGCGTCTGGACCCGCGGTAAGTTCAGACTAAGGTACTTCGAATTCAGCTACGTTATTAACGTAGCTGAATTTGCGTACCTTAGTCCGAAGTGGGGGGTTAGTGGGGACCAGGCTAAAGAAGTGCTTTTGCCATTATAGATTCATAGATTCTAAGGCCAGAAGGGACCACTTGATTAACTGTTCCAATGGTTAATTACCCTCACTGCTAGAAACTTCTGCCTTATTCTTTGTCTAAATTTGTCTAGTCTCAATTTCCAGCCACTGGATCTTGCTAGACCTTTGTCTGCTAGATTGAAGAGCCCTCTATTATCAAATTTCTGTTCCCCAGAGAGGTACTTACAGACTGTGATCAAGTCACCACTTAATCTTTTCTTTGATAAGACAAACAGATTGAGCTCCTTTAGTCTCTCAAAATAAGGCATGTTTTCCAGTCCTTTGATCATTCTCATGGCTCTTCTCTGAACCCTCTCCAATTTACCAATACTCTTCTTGAACTGTGAAGACCAGAACTGAAAACACCAGAACTTCATGCCAGTGCCAAATACAGAGGTCATATAACCTCATTACTCCTGCTTGATATTCCTGTTTATACATCCAAAGATTGCATTCCCCTATTCAGCCACTCTGTTGCACTGGGCTCATGTTCAATGGATTGTCCACCAGGACCCCCATGTCTTTTGCAGAGTCACTGCTTCCAGGATAGCATCTCCCCGCTCCTGTAAGCATGGCCTGGATTCTTTGTTCCCAGATACGTGACTTTTCATTTGACCTTTTTGAAATGCATATTTTTTGCTTGCACCCAGTTTACCAAGCAATCCAGATTCCTATTTCAGTGACCTGTCTCTTCTTATTTACCACTCCTCCAATCTGTGTGTCATCTGCAAACTTCATTGCTAATGATTTTCTGTTTTCTTCCAGGTCATTAAAAATATTAAATAGCGTAGGGCCAAGAACTGATCCGTGCAGGACCCCACTAGAAACACAACCACTTGATGCCGATTCCCCATTTACAATTACATTTTGAGTTTTTAATCCATTTAATGTGCACCATGTTCATTTTGTACCATTCTGGTTTTTTAATCAAAATGTCATGGAGTACCAAGTGAAATGCCTTACTGAAGTTTCTTACATTAACACTATTACTTTATCGACCAAACTTGTAATCTTATCAAAAAGATATTATGTGGGTTTGACAAGATCTATTTTCCCTAAACCCATGTGGATTGGCATTAATTTATATTCCTCTTCTTTAATTCTTTATTAATTAAGTCCGACATCAGCTACTCCATTATTTTGAATCACTGTCAGGTTGAGAGGTCTGAAATTACCCAGGTCATCCCTTTACCGTTTTTAACTAGTGGCACAACATTAGCTTTCTCCCAGTCCTCTAGAACTTCCCCGGGGTTCCAAGACTTATTGAAAACCAACTAACAGTCCAGAAAGCTCGTCAGCCAGCTCTTTTAAAACACTTTCAATCAAGTGATCCGAACCGGCTGATTTTAAAACGTCTAACTTTCGCAATTGCTGTTTATCAACTTCCGGAGCTATTGTTGGAAAGTATTTCATCATTGTTTAATATGAATACATCATCTGACTTTTTCCACAAAGACAGAACAGAAATATTTATTGGACACTTCTGCCTTTTCTGACGGTTCACACTGAAATATTGGATTTCTGTTAAACACTTTGTTTTTTTTTAAAATGATCCAAGGTACAATTAGCAGAAAAATGATCCATCAATATATAGTTTATAGAAAATCCTGAAGGAAATGAAGGACAGGCCCAAAACTAAACCTACGTCTTCAAATACCTCAAAGCTTGTGTTATTTGGAATCTAGACCTAGGTTCCCAATACTCTGGCTGGAGTCCAGCTCTACAGAAAACTACAATTTCATCCATCTAAGGCTGATCCCAAAAGTACTGTAAGTAAGTGAGGTGGAATCTCTGGAGGTCAGACAAGACTGAGGGGAATCTCTACACAAGGGTTGGAGGAAGGGACTATAAACATGCTCTAATTTTAATGCTTTAGAAGAGAAAATATATATTTTTTTAATTTAAATCACACGTTCAAGTTGAGAACAGGCCACTTCTCTGGTCACATCTTGGCTCTTTCTAACCTCGAGTTCCCAAAATAGAAAAGAATCTTTTTTCTTTCAAAGCCAAATTTACCTCACTGACTCCCACTCCGACGCCGGCCCCTTCGCCACAGCTGTTACAAACAGCTGAGATGAGCGCAGCACGGAGGGGCTCGCTGGGCTTCCTGACGTTTGTTTCAGAAGGGAGCGGAGGGCTGGGGCCACTGGTACTGCAGTGAAATGCGTAGACGCACAGCTCTTCCGAAAGCTACTGATGCGTAGATTGTTACCTAATGTCAAACTCTCAGGAACGGGGTTTCCCCCCCCGTGGTTAGATTTAATCCCTTTAAATCACCTCCTAGCATCGTAAGGTGGCTCACAATGGACCAAATCCTGAGTGATGCTGAACACCCTATACCCAGGCTAAGGGGAGGTGAACTACAGCACACAGGTCCAAATTGGGAATCCATCCCCATTCAGCAAAGCCCTTAACGCTCATGCTAAAATTCAGGCTTCAATGGGATTTAAGCGCATGCTTTAAGGGGCTGATCCAGCAAGAGGAAGGATGGTTCATTGGTTATGGCGCTAGCTGGTGACTTGGTTCAAGCCCCTGCTCTGCCACAGATTTCCTTTATGACCTTGGGCAAGTCACTTGTCTAGATGGACAGTTAATGCTGGGGTATTAATCTATGCCAAGCAATGTGCCGCGCACTCTGTGTGGGACACTGCTGCCACGCTCTAAAAGCTCCCTACTGTGCTTTGATCTACTGCCATTTGAAAGGGACATAGGTCAAAGCATGCAAGGGAACCGCTAGTAAGTAGCGGCAGGGTCTACACGGGCAGCTAGCGAGCACCAGGCTAATGCACTGTCGATTTTCAACCCCAGCCTTACTATTCTCTGTGCCTCTATTCCCCAGCTGTGAAATGGGGGTAATAGCACTTGAGAATAAAAGCTTGTGAGGTGCTCTGTCACTACACAATGGGGGCCATATCAGTCCGTCACAGCCGTAAGCGGCCACGTTTCCACTGATGTCGGTGGACTTTTGATCAGGTCCCAGGTGCTTTGCTGAACAGCATGTAGCTAAATGCGGTGCTGAATGCTTTAGGCAGGATGCACACCAGGAGTAGTTAAGGATGCATTTAGCTTTTTGATTTTATTTTTTTTCGATGTAGAACAATAAAAAGCTGCCATGTGTACCGGCCCTCGGGGCCTGGCCATTGATTTGAAATTACCCAACCAAATACTAGTCAAAATGCTCCCAGAGAGCAAATATTAGGTTTGCACACGCAAATGTGCTGAAAGCACGATATAGGTTATGTTCAGATATCCAGGGAATAGAAACTCTACTGTGTGACTTGTGACCGTAACTGTATCTATCGACGGGTTCACCATGGTGTTTGAGAGCTCTTCAACCAACAGAGCTCAGCGACCAAGAGAAAGTAAAGGGAATTGGTTAAATCTGGTTGGCTCATTCTGAATTATTAATAAATTCCAAAAAAAGTGCTGAAGAGTTTTGCAGACAACCCCCAAATCAGGATAAATAAAAACCTCTTGGGCTTAATTTTTTAATCTGAATTTTTCATTAAATTAGGTTTATTTTTTAAAAGGAAAAATATATTTATTTAAAATCCAATGTGAAATTATGCCAACCGATATTAAAGTCTAAATTTACTATAATTTATTAAAATAATTTAAATTACATAAAAATAATATTCAAGTAGTGCATGTTTACTGCTGATGTTTTAAAGAAAGCCAAACCCACTGAATTGGTAGAAGTCATTTGTTAAGCACCTGGAACCAGAGGGTTTGTTGAAGTGCTAAACCAGCTTTTGACAGCAGTAGCTTCTTCTGCAGGTGCAGAGAGAATATTTTCTTCATTTTGGTTTATTCAACTTCTCCAGCTCAATGGCTAGTTCATTCAAAGTTGAGAAATCGATTGGAAGTTGAAAAAGCAGGAAAACTTGCTTTTCTTTTCCAATCTATGAATAAAAATGAGGTGCGAGAGGATGAGATCTACTAGTTCTAAAATCTTGAAGGACAGGATGACCAGAACAATCCGTTCAATTCACTAAATACAGATCCTCTTTGTTTCATATAGCAATTAGTTTTAAATACAAATCATGTTTTGACAAACATACTCTGATGTATCCAGCACATTAAAGGTAGATTATTTAACCAACAAAAACAATTTTAAAATGCTGTTATATATTTTTAATTCAATTCCAATTTCCATCCAAATACAGCTTGACACAATTCATGAAGAAAAAAATGAATCATCTAGTAAAGAAATGTAATATTCACCCTTTTTCTAACATAAAATGTAAAAATTAAGAATAAACGTATGTGAAGCTATATAATTGCTTAAATAAATGTGTATATATTTC